CTTCCTGCTGGCCGCCACCGTCGGTCTGATCGTCTACATTCTGATCGCCGCAGTGTACTTCACAGTGACCACGACGACGGGGCTGGTCCCTGAAACGACGACGTTACCGACACCATTAGTCCTGCTCAGCGGCGTCACCTTTTCTCTGTACTCCACCTGTTCGCACCTGGTTCCGATCAAGTTCGCGCTGACCGGCGTTCAGCTGACCAGCGGGCTGCGGTGCGTGGCCGCCGAGCTGCGCGCGGCCGCAGAGAGCGCCGGCCCGCTCAGTCCGTCCACCGTCCGCCGGCTGATGGCCCTGCAGGACCACCTGTCGGCCCTGTTCGCCGGCCTGACCGGCGTCATGACCTCAGAGCTGACGGCCGCCGTGGTCTACGGCACCGTCTCCAACGTGTCCATGTGGCTGCTGTTTGTGCTGAGCGTGCAGCAGGGCTCGCTGGCGCCCTACCTCATCATGATATCGCTGTACGTGGTCGGCTCGCTGGTGACGATCGTGCTGCCCTGTGAGGTGACGCAGCGCGCGCTGGCCGCCGTCGACGACACCCGAGACCTGCTGCTGGCGGCCGAGCGCCGGCAGCCGCAGCTCAGCCAGCAGCTGGGCCTGTTCAGAGAGACGGTCGGCCGCGACCTGGAGCGGCTCGGCGAGCTGGGCCTGTTCCGGCTGGAGCGCTCCACTCTGCTCTCAGTGACGGCCACTGTGCTCACCTATGTCATCGTGCTGGTGCAGTTTCACGACGCCGGCGGACCGCCGGGGCCCGACTGCGCAGTCGCCAACGGCACCGCCGCCTGAGACGACCGGCCTCCGCCGCAGAGAGGCGCAAAGGACCGCTTCGGGGCCGGCCCCCGGCGCTCCGGGGCCGCTCCGGAGCCGGGAGCGCCACACCTGCTGCTGGAGACTCCGGGCTGCTCGTTGGAGAGTCCAACTTCAGACATCCATGGGTGCTGCTGGGTGCTGCTACTAGAGAGTCCTCACTCCAAGGCTGCTGCTGCTGGAGAGGCCGGAGCAATTCACAGCTGCTGCCGGAGACTTATGACACTCCATCTCCCAGCCGATTATAGCGCGGCGACCGGACGGCGGCCTACAACGGCACCGAACCAGAGTCGTCTCTGGCACCAAGTGCGGCTAGCTGCGGCTGGGCCGTCAGCAGCCGCCGGAAAGACGGGTTAAACAGCCACAGACACTTCACCACGCACCCCCGTGAAATACGACGGACGATTTTGAATAGCCGGCAGTAAAATACCGCATGAATACAAGAGGATTCTCTTTCTGGACGGTATCTTTTGCTGCGCATCATTCACAATACATTATGATGAATTAACCCGCGCCCCGTAGGGGGGGGGCCGAAACGGCCCCCCCCTGTCCTTTTTGGTCGATATCTCCTAAACGGCTGGAGATATCGCCACCAAACTTTCAGGACCCCTCCGGGCATCAATTTTACACATTGTGACCAAAAATTTTTTCCAGAGGCTGTGATAGGTTGGCCACAAATGACGTCAGAGTGACGTCATGTTCTGTCATTTTCGACCGAAAAAAGACCTTCGCGAGAAGACCTGTCAGGCCTACAGCTTTGAAGATACAGAAAAATGATCAAGACATAAAAGGTGTAGAATTGACAGGGCTACAAAACTGCTATCTCGGATTTTTGAAATTTTTGAGTTTTGATCCCCAAAAATCAAAAAAGCATTTTTTTGGATATATTAGCCAAAAAATCCAAAAAGTTTTTTGAGTTTCGAAAAAACCGGAATATATGTGATATTACCTACCGTCTTCTATCTACATACCAAATTTCAGATCGATACCTCGTTTTTTGGCCAAGTTATAGCGAAAAAAACTGTTCAAAAATGATGACGTCAAATTTTCAAACTCAATTTTTGGCAATTCTAGAACTCGTAGAGCAAAACAAAGACCACCATTAGACTCCCCGTGACGAGCTGCATCGAATGGATACCCATTTTATGCAAAAATATCAACTTTGAAATTTGACCTAATTTGACCTGACCTTGACCTGACCTTCACCAAAACGTGACCTAGGCTGGCCCCAAAGGCTGCCTAACCCACATAATCGCATTTGTCATGTAAAATGGACCATAAAACATGTATCACACGACACATTCATATTGTGACCCCCGGTGACCTGACCTCGCTGTGACCTGACCTGGTATCAGTGACCTCAGATAGCAAAGTATGTGTTTGACGAACAATATACCATCGATGGTTTTCAATAAATTACCAATTTACTCGATTTCACAGCACATTTCTTGAATTGCCTGTGAACGGGGGCGTTCCACGACAAATCGACAAATAAAAAATTAAATTTGCACCCTCATATTTTATTTTTCGTTGAAAACTGGTGTAAGGGGTTGTGATGGGCGGGGAAGCCAGCTGTGGCAAGGATTTTTTTCTTCGAACAACGGTTTCCGAGATATGGCCTCGGGCAATTCCAGCAGGTCGCGCTGCAGCCCTATGTTTGGCGGCCTATAACTCAGAAACTATTGGTTTTCTACGATAAAAACTTTATATGGTTCAACTCACAATCAGCCAACAAACATTTTGGCTATCTCGGATTTTCAATTTTTGAAAATTTTGATCACGTGACCTTTTGACCTATTCTTCGAAGAGTGACCTTGATATTTTCCCCACTGAAAGTTGCAATTTTGTCTGATGACGATTAAAGCTTTATCAATTGTCATTCATATGCGAAAATAAAAAAAGTGGATATCGCCCTGCGTTGACCTCAGGTCAGGTCATTTTTATGACCTGTCCATTATTACGAGCGGGAGCGACAGCGAGATCTCGAGAATAAAGCAAGATAGCGACAAGCGGTAAACGGTGCAGGGTACAAATGGATAAGGTCTATAATTTTTACTGAGGTCATTTTCAGGTCAGGTTAAAGATGACGTCACAGGAGCAAAAAGGAAGTCAAAATTGCGGCACTACATATATATGAAGTTTTTCTCGAATAACTTTCAAGGTATCCCAGCTAGGAACAAACTAATAGCACCATCGTGATCCTCTCGTCGATCCGCATCGAAATATATGTATGTTGACCTCGAAAGGTCGAAAGGTCAAAAGTTGACCTTAGGTCACGTGACGAGCGGGAGCGACAGCGAGATCTCGAGAATAAAGCAAGATAGCGACAAGCGGTAAACGGTGCAGGGTACACACGGATAAGGTCTATAATTTTTATTGAGGTCATTTTCAGGTCAGGTCAAAGATGACGTCACAGGAGCAAAAAGAAAGTCAAAATTGCGGCACTACATATATGAAGTTTTTCTCGAATAACTTTCAAGGTATCCCAGCTAGGAACAAACTAATAGCACCATCGTGATCCTCTCGTCGATCCGCATCGAAACATATGTATGTTGACCTCGAAAGGTCGAAAGGTCAAAGGTTGACCTTAGGTCACGTGACCTAAGGTCAACTTTTGACCTTTCGAGGTCAACATACATATGTTTCGATGCGGATCGACGAGAGGATCACGATGGTGATATTAGTTTGTTCCTAGCTAGGATACCTTGAAAGTTATTCGAGAAAAACTTCATATGTATGTAGTGCCGCAATTTTGACTTCCTTTTTGCTCCTGTGACGTCATCTTTGACCTGACCTGAAAATGACCTCAGTAAAAATTATAGACCTTATCCATTTGTACCCTGCACCGTTTACCGCTTGTCGCTATCTTGCTTTATTCTCGAGATCTCGCTGTCGCTCCCGCTCGTAATAATGGACAGGTCATAAAAATGACCTGACCTGAGGTCAACACAGGGCGATATCCACTTTTTTTATTTTCGCATATGAATGACAATTGATAAGGCTTAAATCGTCATCAGACAAAATTGCAACTTTCAGTGGGGAAAATATCAAGGTCACTCTTCGAAAAATAGGTCAAAAGGTCACGTGATCAAAACTTTCAAAAATTGAAAATCCGAGATAGCCAAAATGTTTGTTGGTTGATTGTGAGTTGAACCATATAAAGTTTTTATCGTAGAAAACCAATAGTTTTTGAGTTATAGGCCGCCAAACATAGGGCTGCAGCGCAACATCCAGGAATTGCCCGAGGCTATATCTCGGAAACCGTTGTTCGAAGAAAAATATCCTTGCCACAGCTGGCTTCCCCGCCCATCACAACCCATTAGACCAATTTTAAGCAAAAAATAAAATATGAGGGTGCAGGGCACTTGTCGATTTGTCGTGGAACGCCCCAACGGTGAAAATCTGACCTTTGACCTGACCTGTGACGTCATCGGTTTGACCTAGGTCAATGAAATTTGGTCACAAGGTAGTTCCCAGGTAGGGCTATCAAACGCCGTTTGAATTTTGAAAATCGGCCGGTAACTTTCCGAGATCTTAGGGGGGGGGCCGAAACGGCCCCCCCCCCTACGGGTGGTAGGGTCCGCCGGTAGCCCTACGGGGCGCGGGTTAATTAAAGGGACTATCCCACCTTCTAAAATGTTGTTAAAACCAGTTAAATTGTGCCCGACTTTATAGATTGGATGACCAGGAACACTGTTCTGGCATTTATTTTTCATTAAACATCTTAGGCTTCCCATATTCCAAACACAAACTTTCAAATATGTGACGTCACAGCCCAAAATTACCTCCTTCCCCAAGCCACATTACTGTCATAAAGATGATTCTTTTTACTCTGTAGGCACCACAACAAAGTTCAGACCAAGTTTTAAGCGATTTTTCAACGAACAAACCCATTTAAATCAGAATGACTAAACGAGGTGACGTCACACTAACGGTCGCTCCATGTTGAAGATAGGGCCTTGTACAAGGCCCATTTTCAAATGAAGGGAACGAATTTCTTCAACACCAAGAGGCCGCGGGGGTTGCAACCTAGATAGATAGTGGTTTCTGAACCTCGCCGCAAACTTGGCTATCTCAACTCAAAACCCATGTTAAAGGTGGGATAGTCCCTTTAAGCACGATATAGGCCGAACTGAGTTTGTTTTGGAAACGCTTTTTAACAATCGCATAGGTATCTAATACACAGCCATCCAGTGTAACCATTCCATTGTTTATTGACCAAACTGGACACGATATTCACCATGAAAAACTTATAAGCTAACACAAAAACTTTTAGCCATTTCAATATAGTACTCCCATCACAATGCTCACGGCACGGGACATTCACTATTCTGTTTGTTTGTTAGAAGCTGACGGCGTGTCGACTGTGGTGGTCATTTAATTGCGCCCATAGCGTTATGCTGGTAAAAAGCCAAACGATTTCTGGAACATCCAGCACACCTTCACTATTCACATCCATTAATGCCACACTTTGCATTACTTGTGGTATCGGAAGTCCGAAGTGAACATAGAAGAGATCGGGTACGTTCTAACCTCGCGCTATGACCTGAGGTCACAGGCCATTTCGCCATACCCTCAGGGGAAAGTGAACATCCTACAGCGATCCAGGGACCATCCCACTCTGTCTTGCGGAGTGAGATATTTCAGGGCCTACCCCATCCTAGGGCCCAACCCACGCTGTGAGTGTGGGATGCGGGTCCAGGGCAGACGGCTGCCGGGTCAGCCGTGATATTATCATTTCGGCCCACGGAGCCGGCGAGGGCACCACACTACCACATAGGGTACCACACTCCGAGCCGACACCGACAGTGTTCAAACGCCGGGTATCGTGACGCAGGGATCGAATACGGACCGTGGTCACCTGCCTTAGGCACGTCCCCTGGACCGTGGCCAGCGGTAGGCAAGTGCCCCAGGCTCGTGGACAGTGTAAGACAAGAGCCCCTGGACCGTAGTCGGCGTAAGGCATGGGCCCTGAGACCGTGGCCAGTGTCTAAAGGGCCCCCGGTGTCTGCTCTCACCCATAAACACAGTGTCTGATGGAAACCTCGATGAGGGGACCGCAGCGACCTGTCGGGATATCGCCCACAGAGCTGAGGTGACCCGGTCTGTTGGACTGTCCAGTGACCCCGTCTGTTGGACTATCCAATGACCCGGTCTGTCGGACTGACCCGGTCTGTTGGACTATCCGGTGACGCGGTCTGCTGAACTGACCCGGTCTGTCGAGCGCTGAGTGGCACGGCCCGGCGCACGGCACACTGCACCTGCACCCGCACTACGCGCGCTGTTGCTGCAGCTCCTCGTACTGAAAACAACACAGACAGCACCACATCAGGACCGGGAGATCACCCCCCCCCCCCCCCCGGTACAGCGACGGTATTACTGGGTAGGTAAATTCAGAACAAGTGCTTGGCAGCATAAGCACCCGACCACTAACCTGACATCCCCCCCCTCCCAGTGACTAGTCGGTGACCTAAGCACCCTAAATTGATTACCCTACTAAACTGACCCTCCACCGCACCACGGGGCTGACCTGATACTAAGCCACACCGATGACCTGACACCCCCCTCCATTGACCTACCACCTGATGATGATATCCCTCCCGACTGACCTGCCGCCGGTAGTCGGCCTCCATGTTGGCCAGGTCGTCCACCATGGCGCGGAAGCGCTCGCGCAGCGCCTGGTTATCGATGCTGGCCATCTCGGCCTGCTGCGCCTCGCGCTGCGCCTGTACGTCCGAGATGCGGCGCTGCAGCTGCTGCAGCTGCTCCTCCAGCTCCGACGGCGACTCGGCTGCGGTACGGGCCAACAGTGGGTTACCAGGACGGGCACACGGCACAGTAATAGCCGCGACCACCGACACCAAGGACAAAAACGGAACATCATATTCAGCTCCAATGCAAAATATTACCAGCTTGTAAGAATATGAACATTTTTGCGTACGTACATAATACTTGAACTTACAGACCTCACCAAACAATTAAACATTGTGCTCTAAAAATGGCCACACTCTATACATATAAGAGTACATCGATATTAGCCACCCTGTCCTGTATCAGGCAGCTTCGGTCCCCGATTCCACAGAGGCTGCGCCGCACCGGTCGCTGCCCGCCCCGTGTAACTCACGGTATTCGCGTTTGATGGAGATACCCGATGGCGACGGTGTGGACTTGGCCGGCGACTCGGCGTGCGGAAACATGCTGCTGTCGAACTCGGTCTTCACCTGAACGTCGCCGGTCGTGTCCTGGCGGCGCGGTCAGAATCGGTCAGCTGGGGCGAGCAGAGGACGGTAATAACCGGTTAGATCTGGCCTACTGATAGCAAAAAGACCTAGGGTGTCATTTACGGAAAGAATTCCCTATCTGACCGGTCACGGCAGATGAGCTGTAACCCAGCGCTGTCCACAGACTGTTCGTTGCAGTGGGACCGCGGGGTGTTAGCGGGGTATGGCGGCGGCGGTAGAAACTAGAAGTAACGGCGTCCACTGCCCGGGACGTGGCGGCGCCACCGTCGACTCACCATCGTGTTGGACATGTTGGAGTCGCCGACGGAGAACTTGGAGTTGGACATGGCCGAGTCCTCCGGGTCGTCCATCCGATTCAGACTGCGGTCGGCCTCCTCGTCACTGTCGCTCAGCTCCTCGCCGAAAATGTCGTGCTCGCCTGACGATGGGCAATGAACACAGGGTAGAGTCATGTGCTGAACGCTGGACAATCTACTTTTCACACAAACGGTTCGTCAAGGAGTCTACAATTGTCTAAAATGGTCACACAGGACGTGATGCGGAGAGACATAGCAGAGCTGAACAGAACAGAATCATTTGTCAGCTTAACTAATACGTCGGAAGTTGCAGGCACGTCTTGGCATTCATCAATGAGTCTTTTAACACATATACAGATCCTCAAGTAACACCATGCACGAAAATTATGACTTGAGGCATCGCATGGGCCAAAAATAAAGATCCGGCTGTCGGGCGCCGCCGCCCATCCGTGTCTATCCCTATCAGACAGCTCGCGATGCGACTGTCGCGCGTCCCCGCGTACCAAGCTCCTCCTTGATGCTGGCCACGGTCGGCAGGCCCGACTCGTCCTTGAGCTGCTTCTTCTCCTCGTCGACCACCTCGTGGCGCACATTAACAGCCTCGTTATCCATACGCAGCAGCCGCTTCACCTCCTTCTCAATCTCCGGAACCTCCACAAACTGACGGAGAGACAGGATCCATCAGTACAGAGACGTAACGACACCGACAAACTGGGACAGGGCGTACCAGTATAGACACGACACCTCGACAAACTGAGAAAGACAGGACCAATCAGTATGGAGACGAGAGACAAATGAGGGATCACAGGGCTCATCAACATAGAAACGGACCTGGACCTCGACGAACAAAGACACGGCGCATCAGTACAATACAGAGACAAACATACAGCCATGATTAAACCATTGTCCGCAGAGAACCCTTGATTGAACCACTCAAACCACTCAACACGTACCTTTTTCTTCAGCGTACGCCTGAAGCGTCGTTTCCGGACGTTCTTGAGCGGCGGTGTGAGTCCGTGCGGGTAGAGGTACCTCTTCTCCACCTTGCTCGGGTCGCGTCGCTTCTTGTTCGGCGACTCGTCGTCCGAGGCGTCCTCATCCTCCTTACAGAGCATCATCTGTGGGGGCGGGTGGACGTCAGCAAAGGGAAACCTTTGTCCTCCTTACAGAGCATCATCTGTGGGGCGGGTGGACGTCAGCAAAGGGAATACCTTGGTCGTCCTTACAGAGCATCATCTGTGGGGCGGGTGGACGTCAGCAAGGGGAAACCGGCCGATAATTGTCATCTAAGCAATTAATTCTTGCGTTAATTCCAGTTATTCTGTGATCATCTTCTGTGAACGAAATACATTCCTCAAATAACGATCAAGGATTCGGAAATCAAATGGCATGTCGACGCAATGTAGAGTTCAGCATTATGAAACCCAAACATGCCTGGCAAATGTCGGCGGTTTTGTAGAAATTCTTTCCATCGATAGTCTTGTAGGACTCCGTGATGGTGGGCAGGTCAACAATCTGAAACAGATAAAAATACCTCAATAACAGAATAACTACTAATCGAAATGCGTAACGATAAAATTCGTACCGAAACATCAGGCCCAGGGCATACAGAATTCGATCTGGTTAGGTACCAACCGAATCAAAAAGCTTTCATTTATCTACTGTGGATCATTGGTCAAGTTCGTCCTAAACATCTATCCAAAAGTGTTAGGTAAGTACTCCGAGAATAGGTACTGCATGGTATGCGAAAACCATAACAATTTGATTGTTTGCGACGGACAAACTTATTTAGCTGACACAACCCTGTCAAACGAAATTGAAGGTAGCTGTACAAGTGAGACTGCACAGTGTCCAAGTTGATCTGTCCGCTCTGACGATCCATTCGTTCGGTCGGAAACGCAAAGCACGTACCGCGCTCACAACGTTCTATTCTCGACTGACGGTCCTCTCACTCACACCTCGCCACAATGGCTGCGGAAACGACCCCGGTCGTTTCCGTCCGTTCACCGCGCCGACAGCCCACCGTGCCCCGGGACAAGGCGGACCCAAACACAAGCAATCGCAGCGCATAACCCTAATACATATCACAAGTCAACGAGACAGATGCGTTGATAGCATTATCCTGCCATTAGTCAGCAGGGCGCTATCTCGTTGACGACCTGGTACCGCAGTGCGCCGTGGCCCAGCCGCAGGTAGGTACCCACCTTGGCCGGCAGGTACCAGTTGTCAAAGCGCACTGTGCCGCGCCGCATGTCCGACTCCATGCTGATGAAGAGCCGGTCCTTGATGGTGGTCATGCCCTCGCGGATGGCGTGCCGCAGGCTCTGAGCCGGCGCCTGTGGAGAGCGCGGCAGCGCCTGTCAGACTCGACAGTCGACAAAGCAAGGACAGCAGAGCGCACAAACACGCTGAAGCTTACACTTGTAAAATATTGTCGCACGAATGGCGAGGACACTTTCAGAGTAGGAAACACAATCGTCCTCAACTGCTATTGCATGAACATAAATCAAATGAACCGAATCGCGCAATGCCCTATCAGCCCTAGAAACAAGACAATACAAATATAATCTTTGTGTAAAGAAAGCCATAGAGATCTTATATTACAGCATCAGTTAATGACAAGTGAAATGACTAAATGAGTACTGCTGGTTTGGTGAGCAGCACTGACCGCTGGCAGGCGCAGGACGAACTGGCTCTCCAGTTCCACGGGCGGCTCTGAGCCGGGCGGACGCTCCGAGCGACGGTTCATCTTCTGAAACACACCAAACAGTTGACTGGAGTGGGTGCATGTGGGCATACCTACAGGCCTACAGGAGCCGAAACTAATACCTACAGGAGAGGTGGGGGACGTTTCTGGCCACACTCAAACCTTTTCTTCGCGTTACATAACATGTAGAGGAGACCAAACGGCAGCCGCCTCAAATCAATATGAATCAATATATCCTATTATACACCAATTTTGCATCGTGTGTGAAAAATTGGCACCAGGTCAAGGTAACATGACCCTCGCCCGTAACCTTGGCTGAATTTTGCCAGCCAAGAATGTCGGGGAGGCAGGGTCCATTGGATTCCCCTAGCCGTTCGGCCCCTGATCGAGCTAGAGCTTCTCAGAAAAAGAGCGTGCTGCCCGTGATGAAAGAAAGCCGATGATACCCAATTTTAGCCCTCACCCCAACCTGGGTTGAACGGACCCCCTTGGTTTTTCGCGAATAACTTGCGTAAAAAGCAGGGATGCGGAGCCGGAGCCGGAGTCGGAGCCGGAGCCGCCGGAGCCGGCATATTTTGTCCGGAGCCGGAGCCGGAGCCGGAGCCGTGAAACAATATAGCTCGGAGCCGGAGCCGGAGCCGGAGCCGCCAAAAAAGGGGGCGACTCCGGCTCCTTTTTATTTTTTGAAGAGGAAAAAAAAAATAATTGACCTAGTTCGGTTTGACAGTACAAGGCAGTAAAACATATGGTACTATTGGTCTCAAGATAAGGGCCCAGCCGACCTGTAGTTTTGATGCGGTGAATACTCTCACCCTCGCCACAACTCAAGTGGGGGTGGCGCTGGCTGGGAGGAGGGGTGCACTCGGCCCGAGTTGTGGCGAGAGTAATGGTATTCACCGCATCAAAACTACAGGTCGCCTGGGCCCTTATCTTGAGACCAATAGTACGTCATGGGCCATCAAGTGAATGAAAAAAGCCGAATATCCCCAGTATCCCACAGTACGCAATCAACTTCCTGTCTGCTCCTCCCCCCCACGTCTACTGCATCCCCAGAACATGAGGACCGGTCATCAGGTGACGGCCATTGTTTTGAAGCCAGTGCAGTGGACTGCGACTCCCAGCACCGTCTCTTCCCACCCCCACCCCCACCCCCCAATGCAGCCGAGACGGGTGTCAGCTTACGATGGTTCAGTGAACTCCGATTCGCGGCGACTGCGTTTCCAATGCCATCGCTTCCTAGTCCTTTGTTCCTAGTCCTGTTGAGAAAAATAGCCTTAGTTGTAAGTTGTTATGCAAATACAGAAGCAACGTGTACCAATCCAATTTTTCTTCCACCCGTATTTAATTGATTGCATAGGGGATGTACTGAGTTGGAGCCGGAGCCGCCGGAGCCGGACCATTTTACTCGGAGCCGGAGCCGGAGCCGGAGCCGCCATAACGTTTCACCCGGAGCCGGAGCCGATTTTTTTCTCCGGAGCCGGAGCCCAAGCCGGAGCCGGAGCCGTCTGAAATTTCCACGGCTCCGCATCCCTGGTAAAAAGCGATCGATTGCGACGTAACTTTCAGTACCCTTGCGTTAATCAAATGAATACCAGACATTCACCACATCCATGCAACAGGAAAGTTGGTATTGGTATGGGAAAATAAAATTCACGGGCTTCACTCTGACTCTGGACTCACCAGTCACTTGCTTGCTGGGTTAGGACGCGCAGCCTCGAGACCCAGGCGTCCAAGACTCACCAGTCACCTTCCGCGTATGATACGAAAAAAAATTAGCAGGTTGACCAAGCTTATACCCAAGGTAATACCATTATGATTACACCGGAAAAAGAAGCTATCAGTATTTGAGGGCAAACGTACGGGGAATACAGTGTTATAAGCAAGATACCTATAAGCACGGTCATAGAATACTAAGGTAACACCATGGAGGAAGGAGTATTCTCTCCTCCATGGTAACACGGAGCCGAAGCTTCAAGCCAGGGGACACGGGAGGCATGCCGTCAGCTGTCCATTTATAAATAATCGGTTTCTTTGACTTAATTTCTAATGTTTTTCTGATGTTTTGCATCAATGAGGTACATCAAAAATTAAGTTTTATTTTTTTTTGAGGTCGAAAATATTTTGTTGTCCAAACTATCCCCGTTTAAAGAAAATAGACAAGGGGAGAGTTTACCCAGGACCCTATGGAGAGAGTCAACCCAGGGCCCTATGGGGCGAATTCGATGCAACAATGGCGCAGTAGCGACATTACTCTTGTTCGATGTTTTTCGGACGACAAAGATTCTACGCCATTCGGCCAATCACATTCAATAATTGCAGCCGAGCCCCCGTTGATCTAGAACGGGATTGGCCGGACGACGTACAATCTTCGTCGTCTGAGAGACATCGAACGAGGGGTACATCGACTGAACATACATTGCGATTCAATATTCAGTATTTTATGACCGTGATTGCAATCCAAATTTGCATTTGAGCTCAGCAGTCGAGTGTGGTGCCAAAAATACCAGAAGCGATGTCCTATATACGGCCTTGACCAGAAGTGTTGCATGCCCTGGATGCAGAAAAACAAGATTGAGATGAGTGGATCAAGATGTATCTTTCGTGCAGATGTATCAAGATCCTTTCACTTAAGATCCATGCAGGTGAGGTTCCAGTGAAATTTGAATTCGATAGGTAGCTATTTTTGATTTTGCTTTGATACTTGTGGTAAGGAAACATGATTATGGTTGCATGAACCGCCCACTGCTCATTGCTGTCTTGTCTCACGTTCGATATCCGATCACCATTCTTAAATAGCTCACCCCATAATATGGAAATCAGGTTTCAGGAGGCCACTAGGCTTGTGGGGCCTGGTCTCAATGAGCTCCCAGTGCTAAGGACAGTCAGGCTCATATGCTGGGTAAGGTCAGGTTCAGGTAGGCCAGTATGCACTCTGCAAAGCATGGCAATTTCGACAAGATCTCGTCTGTGCTGGCTTGTCCGGCTGGTGAGGCTTTGGTGTGGCGTGGATTTAGCTTGGTGCAGTGCGGATTTTGTGTAGCGCGGTGCAGATTTGGTCTGGTGTGGTCAGGTGGTGGGGGATGTAGTGTAGTGCATTTTAAATGTGGCTGATAGGTGTGCGGTGGTCAGAACGGACTGTGCCAGTGCTGGTGCCTGGTGGTCCCACCAATCACGGGGGTCATCTCCTGTTGTGACCCAGGGCCCAGGGGGTCTAGTCAAAACCTTACCTATTTCTGCTAACCTAAACCTATTTCTTACAAATTAGGCATAAATGTGATTATGGTATAATGATAATTAAACCTGGCCCTTTTTCAGGCGCAAGCTTTGGATGAACTTCTGCTTCTGCGGTCGGCATTCTTACAGGAGAACCCAAGATTCATTGTACCTACCTGTATGCATTTCAAAACTGAATAATTGATAGCAACAAGTAAATATTTGAAGTTGCAGCCAAATGCTGTGCCTTCTCTGCTGCAAGAGCTACATGTCACCATTGAAGCAAGGTAAGTGTTAAAAGAAATTGTTCACCTTCTGTGAGTAACTTGATAAATAAAATTTAAAAAGGTGTGTTAAAAATGTGATGAATAAAATTTAAATGTATTCTAACTTGGAATTACACACTTCTTCTAAAGGGATTTCATTATTTTAATGATTAGAGTTATGAACACTTACAGCTGAACAACCTATCAGCTGCAAGGGATTCTGCTCCTGTAAGTGCTCTCATCGCTGATTGGCCACTGTGTGTGTTGAAGAGGTTTCTGCTTGCTGTAAATGAGCACTAGAACATTAATTTAAGCACCAATATTCACTGATAAAAGGTGAATATCTCAAACGGTTCAAATATAAGGCATACACAAATCTGCTCTATCACACTGCTATCTCAGTTTAAAATCCCATGTTAAAGGTGAACTATTTCCTCGACAGGACCAGCTCGACTCCTGCAGTAGGAGTCCAGCCTCGTCCAGTCGTCGCCGCTCGCCAAGACCAGCCGGACTCCTGCAATAGGGGTCCAGGCTGACCCGTTCGTCCAGTAACCGCCGCTCGTCAGCACCAGCTGGGCTCCTGTAGTATGGGTCCAGCCTCGTCCAGTCGCCGCCGCTCGCCAAGACCAGCTGGGCTCCTGTAGTATGGGGCTAGGATGGCCCGTTCATCAACCGGTCCTGAAGTCACATCGCCGTCAGCCAGCCGAACTCAGTACATAAGTCACCAACCCTGAATGTTGCCAGCCAAAGTCGGCAGTTTCCTTCGGACAGTCATCTCACCAGTGTTGTACAGTGTACGAGGTTAGTGACGCAGTTAAATGCGTCAATTAAATGCGAGGACGTGCGCTTGTATGCAGCGTTTTGTCATGTTGAGCTGCATGGGTGTCGATTTTCACCGAATTGAGGGTGCCCACTGCCCGGGCGCAGCAAATCCGCCGCTGCCTTAGCGGTGACCTTGACCCGCACCGTCTGTTGGGGCTCCAAAGCCAAGCCAGCCGAGCCGGCGGGGAATCTAAAGAGCTTGAGCACCCCCAACCCGGCGGAAATTGACACCTATGTTGAGCTGTATGGATGCGTTTTAGCCTTCCGCCGTGGTGGTAAATAGCAGCCTACATGCAGAATTAGGCAGGCTTATTAGCGGACTCATTATTGGATTCATTGTGTCACGTTTGTCGGCACGCGTAAGATGTGCTTAACTGCCATTAGCTCTCGGCCTGGCGACTTCTGGGGACCACGTAATGGGGATGACAATTGGGATCCTGTGCCTTAAGCCGGCCATTTACGTCCATGGCTATATACCCCCGTACTAGGGCTAGTTATGACGTATATAGGGATCCACGAGATCTTTTTTGATGAATGTGTTGTGCAGTGTTGAGATCCGCGTGTAACGTCACTGTTTGGCCAGTCTGCCCTCAAACGCGTCATCTTTACTCGTATTTTATTTACTGAACGCTTTGCATGGTCCAGTGGTTTATATAGACATCTTCCTTGCACTAGCTAGTTTTATGTGGCCAGGTTGATTGCCTGTCAGCGCGGTCACGCTGTCGTCTTTCGATTGGTGCGCTTAAATGCGGCGAGATGAATAAAGGATTTCCTTTGATGCTATTTAGTACCTGCGCCCAGCTCAACTGGGGAAGGGGGGGGGGGCACTGCCGACTTTTGGTCCCATTCTTTCCATGTAACGCCCATAGAGCCCATTGTTAAAATGCCAAAATCAAAGGGGGGCACGGTGCCCCGGTGCCCTCCCCGTTCCGCCGCCTATGCGCGAAAGTACCAACTACCAACAGTTTCCAGTTGTTTGTGTCCCAAAGTTTTTTATGAGTTGGACGATTGGGCTTTTCCCATCGCTCGTTATGCAATTATTTTGTTAAACGCTCTAAAATTGTTTCTCTACAAGTCATTAGAACTTAGAAGCAAATAGATATTGATGGATACGATCTCAAGGGGGCCGATAAGAAGGGAGAGCGCGCGGCGCAATGATTGTGGAGCACAGCACACGATTAATGTGAGGCGCATTTAAGCGAGAAATAACTTCATTGAACAGAAATGAGCAGAGTACCAGCATTGAAACTGCACCAGTACCAGCATTGAAACTAAATATAAGATATCTCAGAAGGTTGCGCTTTTGGGGCCGAGTTGTGGTGCTTTACGCCGTACATCATGCTTAATGAATGTGACCGTCGTGTTTGTGGGATCCCCGTCGGTACTAGTCAGCCCCACGAATCGTGGTAGATCATAAAGATAATCTTCGCCTCCGGTTATGATTTTGATATATCTACGAAACGGGTGCTGGGTGGTACACGAAAGCAGCTTTTTCAGGTGAGTTGAAAGGGGAAGGGGTTCTTTGAATTACCATTTCGGACCATGGTTCTAAAAAGCGCTAGTTTAAAACTATTGTTATAATTCCTATCGTAAACCATCGGACGCTCGACGCTGCATTGGCATTGGTACGATGTGCCGGTAATCGCTTCGCTCGCCGAGAATGATAGCGTGGCAGGTTTACTGATATGTAGGATTATCAAATAAATGTAATAGAAACGATATTAAATCCACTACCTCTTTAGAAGCTCTTGAAATAAACCTGGCTATCTGGTTGTCGAAGCCAGGCAAATTATATGCTTGGAATGGCTAAATGTCCATTGTCCATGACATCATTAAATTGAATTATTTTCCTTCTTAGCACTTAAAATACATTTCAGCGACACAAAACTCCCAAAAGTCTGATATCTTGCCCGTGGTATCGTGGTACGATCGGCGAGTACCTAAACCTTCCTACGCAATGTCCATGGCTATGCGAAGTCTAAGGTTGGCCTACATAAGCCTTGGGTTGGCCTGTTTATCCTGTTTCATATCGTATCTATGATAATAAAGTGTTCACGATCGCATAGCCAAACTGAGAACAAAATATTTATTTGCAAAACTCCAGCAATACCCCTCGCTTGATACTATAAAAAATATTGCACACGATCATGCGAAGCCGTGAATCCTACCGCCTTTATTTAGCGCCGGCGTTCCCGCGTTAATAATTTCTCCTGAATCGGAGGACCAATAATCAGCTGACGCACCGTTGTTTTGATGTCGGCGGACCGTGCCAGCCTGCCTATAAGAAACGCTATAGGGACATATTATTATTGGGAAAATATAAACAAATAAAAAAGATAGGCGAAATCAGCGCAACCAAATGCATAAATCGCCGAATTACAAATACTCACCAGAAAATTATTTTTAACACCTCATTAAAACATAAATAGTACAAGCTGCAGCTGCAAAAAATATTTTATTGATCAAATAATACTCTGTCAAAAGGAATTTTAAAATTCAAAATACTTTGTAGAACTTATTATAATGGAAATTGAGAATTTTTAAACCATTTCTGATGATGGCTAGAAGCCCTTTCTGTCATTTCAATGACGTCATCAAAAGCAAATAAGTACTATGAGAGCACACTAGATATAGAAAGCAAGAAAGCACACAACCGTTCAGTGCACACAACACAACACACCGCGTACACAACAATAACAAACCGCGCAGCTTTTAGCGGGGGAGCACGTTTGTCTGTAATAATTGGTGTAATTGGTACGTCAATTGGATTGTGAAACGTAAATTGAATCTCATTTGCATGGTTGTCAACAATTAGCACCTTCAGCACTGTAGGCAAGGCTGTAGGGTAGCTATTTTGATTTATCAAGGAAGGGATGTCTCGAAGCTAGTCTTAGACTCCATGGTTTGCCAAAGTTTGAGAATTTAGTTGTAGAGATACTATATAATCAAGTAAAGTAACCATACTATACCGGCTTCTAACCATACTAACCATACCATACCGGCTTCTCATTGTTTCTCTAGACAGCATTGATGCAAAAGCAGAGGTACTGAGGATGGCTCCACAACTCAGACACCTCTCAACATGGAAGAGGATCTATGTCACCCCTGATCTCTCAAAGAAAGACAGGGAAGAAGGAAAACGGCTCAGGGAGGAGTTGGCTGCTCGAAAGCTGGCAGGGGAGGAGCACCTGACTATCAGGAAGGGGAAGATAGTGAGGATGAACAACAATGAGGCTACTCATTCTCACCCAAACTCTTCGACTCACCCAGCACCCAACCCCAACCCCAGCTCAAGCACTTTGAAACAGGCTGACAGACCTACGAACGCCCAGCCTAACCGAACAGAGTCAGCACGGCCACATGCTGACAGCAACCAAAATTGACTATATGGGTCGGGTATTAGTGATCAAGCAAAGCAAATCAAAGTCATTTATACTAATGCCGATCAGTTAATCAACAAGAGGGACGACCTGTCTATGGTAATTGCACAGAATGAGCCTGATGTCATTCTCATCACAGAAGTTGTTCCTAAGGCCCAGATTCTTCCTATTCACCCTGCTCTACTGGCCCTCCCCAAGTACAACATTTATGTAAATGTGGACCTGTCAAGACCCAATCTCGGGGCGAGTGGACAACGAGGTGTGTGCATATATGTAAAGGAGCACCTGCCATCTCATGAAGTAACTCTTCAAACGAACCCACCCACATCCATGGAGCAGATATGGATTATGATCGACCTTCGCAATGGGGACAAACTCTTGATTGGGTGTATTTACCTGAGTCCGTCCGGAGACAGACATCTGGGCATAACTGAGCTGGATAGAAGTCTGTCACTGGCTGGAAATTTGAGTCCTTCTCACATTCTGGTAGTCGGAGACTTCAACGTTCCACAGATTGACTGGGCGTCCTATTTCTCAGACGAGCCCCCTGGACATCATTCTCATGCACTGCTCTCATGTGTGCAAGACCATTTTCTTACCCAGCATGTCACTGCACCAACAAGGTATCGTTTAGGTCAAATCCCAAGTATGCTTGACCTCATCTTCACCAACGAGGAAGGGATGGTACAGGACTTGCAGCACTCACCAGGTCTTGGCCTCAGTGACCATGTCATTCTGGAGTTCAGTCTGAAATGTTACACTACGAAAGGGATCCCAATCGGTCCCCATCTGAACTACAACAGAGCCAACTACAATCTACTGAGGAGTGTGCTCCAAGATGTGGACTGGACTGTGATGCATGATAGCAACGTGCATCGCGCCTACCACTATTTTGTGAGCTCCCTCAGAGAGGCAGTTGCTCGCACAGTGCCGGTGACGCACCACAGACCTAACAAGAACCTGTACATTGATAACCGAGCGCAGAGGCTCAGGCGTGAGAAAAGCCTGCTTTGGAATATGTATGCTCACACCAGGGACCCTGTGGACTACGCCAGGTACTGCCGATGCAGGAACAGACTGAGAAAGCATACCAGAGAGCTGAGACGTACCTTTGAGTTCAGACTGTCAAAAGAGCTAAAGGACAACCCAAAGGCCTTCTGGAAATACTCCAACTCGAGACTCAAAACCAAGGTTGGCATTGACGCCTTGAGAGATGAGAACGGATTGGTAATCAGAGATGACGTCACAAAGGCTAGCATCCTGAACAAGTACTTTTCTTCGGTATTCACCAACGAGGATGCCTCTGTTATACCATCTCTTGCTCCACCTGGCCAGTCACTGAACCTTCGCGACCTGACGGTCACGGCCGACATGGTTAAACACAAGTTGATGCGACTCAAGAGCTCTAGCTCCCCAGGGCCAGACAGAATCCACCCTAGGGTCTTGATCGAGGCGGCTGCTCAGCTGGCGGTCCCACTATCCATCATCTACAACAAGTCCATTCAGTCTGGCTGTCTTCCAGACGACTGGAAGCTTGGCACCGTAGTACCTATTCTGAAGAAGGGGGACAGGCTGGACCCAGGCAATTATCGCCCAGTGAGCTTGACTGCAATTCCTTGCAAGGTACTTGAATCCCTGATCCGAGATCATCTCATGACTCACCTGGAAGAAGCCAACCTCCTATCGAACCACCAGCACGGCTTCAGACCACAGCGATCCTGCATGACCCAGCTTCTTGAAGTGCTGGATGAGTGGACCAAGTGCATAGAGAATGGCGAACCAGTTGATGCGGTGTATCTCGACTTCAGAAAGGCTTTTGACTCTGTGCCACACCTGAGACTCCTGAATAAACTCGAGGGATACGGTATCACAGGAAGGTTAAAGGGCTGGATTGCCTCCTTCCTATCGGACCGGCGTCAACAGGTGGTGATCAGAGGACACTGCTCGCCTTGGGTGCCTGTGACCAGTGGGGTTCCTCAAGGGTCAGTCCTCGGGCCAATGCTGTTCATCATATTTATCAATGACTTACCCGAATCCGTGCAGAGCTCCATCAAGGTCTTTGCAGATGATACCAAAATCTTCGGAACACCATCGTCCACTGGAACAAGCTCAATCCAGCGAGACATTGAAGAAGTGGCCAAGTGGTCGGAGAAGTGGCAACTGCCGTTCAATGAATCAAAGTGCAAGGTCCTTCATCTCGGCCCTAGGAATCCTGGGCACTCATACACCATGAATGGTCTCCAGCTGAATACGGTTGAAGTAGAGAAGGACCTGGGGGTTCAGCTGGATTCTGACCTGAAGTTTCGTAAGCAGGCCGCGTCTGCAGCTGCAAAGGGCAACCAAATGCTCGCACTGATAAAAAGATCGTTCATTTGCATTGATGCGACTACCCTGCCGATTCTCTTCAAAACGCTGGTACGACCCCATCTAGAATATGGGAACCTCATCTGGGGGCCCTTCAACCGAGCTGATCAGAGGCTGATTGAACGAGTGCAGCGGAGAGCAACCAAACTGGTCCGTGAGCTAAGACACTTGCCCTACCAGGAACGCCTCCGGCGACTCAAGCTCCCATCACTATATCACCGAAGACGGAGAGGAGACGTAATCGCCATCTTCCAGATTTTGACGGGAGGAGTCAACGTTCGGCCGGACCAGTTTTTCGAGCAGGCAGTCTCATCTGTCACCAGAGGACATGCTCTGAAGCTGCTGAAGCCTCAAGCTGCTTCAAGACCCAGGAGACACACTCTGTCGGTCCGCGCCATCAACGACTGGAATGCGCTTCCTGCCTCTGTGGTCCTCTCTACGTCTGTCAATATCTTCAAAGCCCGTCTCGACTCTCACTGGGGTGATGCATCCTTTGACATCCCAGCCCAAGATTCATGACTGTCTCTAGTAAGGAGCTCGATGAGATCAGATCCCTACAGGCCTTATAGGCCTCAAAATTCTGTATTGGTAAGGTAAGGTAAGGTAAGGTACTATCATAATCATTGTAATTTACAAAAAAAAAATGTGACAAAGCATGCCTGATAATGCTGAAGTGAGGAGCTTTGGCCTGTGCTTTCTTAGCTGAATGCCAAAAGATCGTTCGGAATTATAAAGCCCTTTTTTCTGTGAAATGTTTGCATAAATCATGAGAGTATGGTTGCTTTAAATTAATATATGTTTAGGCATGCCTCTCAAAACAGTTCTCACGACAATTCAGATAGAACAAAGCTGGGAAAGTACCTTCCTATCTTTCCTATCTTTCCTCTTGTCCTAGGCTTTTATAGGTATTTATTTCTTGCATGGTAGTGATGAATGAGGATTCTGAGCAAAAGCAGCTTGATCTACCAGTGTAAACATTTTTTCGTTCATAAGTCAAGGGCAGTGTGTTACTACTGTTTGCATTTTTTTTTTAATTAAAAAACTACCTATTTACAAATTCCAAGGCATCTTCAATTTACAAATTATGTGAACTGTTGATTATAGCTGCCTGCTTATTTTTGTGCACTTTCACTTATTAAAATATATATATATATATATATATATATATATATATATATATATATATATATATATATATATATATATATATATATATATATATATATGAACCCTTAAAGTGGATAAATAAGAATATATGACAATTGTGTGTGTAATGCTGATATCTTTAACTATTACAGAAACTGAAAATCACAGTCCAGCCAGCAGCATACTGAAGCTGCAGCTCACTACTGCAGTTCAAGCGCACCATGGAGAGACTTCCTGTAGAGGTTTTAAGTCAAATTGTTGGATGCCTGAACTTCTGTGATCAGCTACAACTTGCCAAAGGTAACTCAAGATTTGGTTGGTGTGTTTAATGTGTTATGATTAGTGTGCACATGTCTTGGTGAACTAGTGGTTCTGTGGTTGCCTAACTGTGCAGCTTTCCAGCTGACATTCACACACCTGTAGTATGGCCAAAAAGAAAATGGACTGCATTGACCATGGCAACTATTTGCTCCAGGTGACATCAATCCATACTTTTAAGTACCTACTAGACAAATAGCCTTTGTGGTCCCAATCCAATTTATATCTTTGGATTAGACTTAAGGGTAATGTATTTCTCTCTAGAGAGCAAATACAGTGAATCAGCTGAGTGCTGTGCTGAAAACATTGGTGTTACTATAACATTGGTGTTATAGTTGAGGTATGCCAGCATTTATATATGGGCCAAAAACCTGAGAAGGGGCAGTTAAAAAGTAAAAATGCTCCTTCCCTGTAAATAATGGTGGCAAATGTGCAGCTAAAATTTGTGAAACTCATCTCCTGTGTTAGTACAGCTTGTCTGGACATTGTGCCAGCTGTTTCGGTGAACTCTGTTGCGTTTGGACGCCAGTGTGTGTCCGGTGGCGAGCGGCCGTCCGCGACTGCCTGCAGCGGCGGCAGCGTCTCACGGCCGGCGACCTGAAGGGAAAACGCTGCACGGACACTCTGCTGCGCACCCTGCTGCCCCAGCTGCCGGCGCTCAGAGCTCTGCGCGTCGCCGGATACGACCTCGATATCGACATCGTATGTGAGTTCCAGTACTATGGCTGATATTAGTCACTTCACAGACCGTTACCTACTAATTCAATGGGCTTTTTGCTAGAATGGTTTCCAGAGTAATTTGATGATTTAATCTATGACCATTGACATTCTTTAAAGTGTGGAGGATTGTTTCTCCGGGAATGGACTTCTTCGCTCCGCAATTCTCCGAGCCAAAAAGAAGAGGTCGGGCGACTTTTCTTATTGGGAGGTCACCTCACACGGTTGATCTGGGCCCAGTCTGAATTAGCGCCGTCTCCGCCGCAGCCGAGCACTGCCGCCGACTGGAGGAGGTGGACCTGTCTCCGTTCCGGCTGAGCGAGGACGCCCTGGAGCGGCTGTGCCAGCACTGTCCGCGCCTCTCCTCCGTGAAGCTGCCCGAGAGCTGCGAGCCGCTCTGGCCGGAGCTGGTGCTGCGCCGGCTGCCCGACCTGCGTGACCTGCGGCTGGAGCACGTGCACCTGACGGCGGCCACGGTGACGCTGCTGCCGGCGGGCCTGGAGCGGCTGTCGCTGTACGCGTGCCAGGTGCCGTGCGGGCCGCGCCAGCCGGCCGACCGCTGGCCGCGGCTCACGGAGCTCGTGCTGACGCTGACCTCGGTGGACCTGGACGGCGACCTGACCGCCCTGCTGGCCGGCTGTCCGAGCCTGCGCCGGCTGCAGGCCAACTGCGCCGACGCCACCGACCAGCTGCTCAAGGAGCTGCCCGGCCTCAAACAGCTGCAGACTCTGGACCTCTCCTGTGAGTGCCACACATAATGCGCGATAGTCTTCCGCGTCTACCTTGAACAGTGACTGTTCGCCAAATTGTATTATTCGATTCTGAATATTTGTTTTGACACATTTTCAGCGCATTGGGTATGAGTATTTTATAATTACCGACCCAAGTATTGCGACCATCTAAGTATGTTGGTGTGTGTTCCGGCTGTGTAGAATTGGACGGCCACTTTGATACCCCTGACTGCCACTGTGTTTCAGTCTGTGATGATCTGACGGAGGCCGCTCTGGTGGAGAGCCTGCCGCGCCTGAGGCAGCTGAAGTCGCTGAACCTGTGCGGCGTGTCGTCCGTCACCGACACCGTGCTGTGCAGCCTGACCGGCGCCGAGTCGCTCTCCGAGCTGACCCTGGGGGTCGAGGTGTACTACCAGAGCGTGGACTTCACGATGGACGGGCTCCAAAGGTCAGTGTCGCCGTCAGGCCGTACTTGACGTGAAACCTAAGATAAAATGAAATTTGATGAATACTATCGCATAGGTACAAGCGTTGTTTGCCACATGATTCCTGTATGTTTTGTGGAGCTCTATGTCCCCGAACGTGTGTCGATGTTGTATGTATGTGCGACGTCTGACGCGCGCCGTGTCGGCCGTGCAGTCTGGTCGTGAGCTGCGCCTCCCTCGCCACGGTGGTGCTGATGTACTGGGAAGGGAAGGATCTGGAGGCCATCATCCGCGGCCTGTCTGCGCAACTGGACCCGGAGCGGCGCGTCACCCTCACCATCGATGGTACGTGCGACCGCACTGCACATACACTTATGCGCAGAATATTACTATAATGCGTGCCTTCATTGGGAATGCTTTCGATAGATTTATTACCATCCCATATTGCATAGCAAGTACGAGCTGTTATGTACAGTTAGTACGTATATTTATCATTTATCCTTTTGGACGCAATAAGCCAAATGTTATATTGTTCGTCTGATTTTCACCAAAGTCCCGTCCTCATGTGCGGTTGACGGAATGTCCGTAAGTCCTCTACCGTCCGTGTGTGGTGCGGTTGACGGAATGTCCGTACATCCGCTATAACCGTCCTCATGTCGTGTGTTTGACGTGCTACCCGACCCGTCCGACAGAGACGATGCTGGAGCAGATTGACGAGTCGGTGCTGCCAGCCGCCGACAGCCCGCTACGGATCGCCACGTTCAGCTGAGCTCCCTCTGGGACCACGGACCGAGGACCGGACCGGACCGAGGACTGAGGACCGGACCGGGGACCCTCCCGGACGGCCGTGAATGTCGTCACAGCTTTTATAACACCTCGCACTAACGCTGAGTAGTTTGATAGTTGCCCGAGACATAAAAGGTTATCTGGTGCTTAGTTTGGTGCATATTTGGTGCAGATTTGGTTCATCGTGTTTCTTAGAAGTTTTTAGTTTTGTTTACACAATTGCTTGTATACTTGATTTTTCACATTATCAGATACCATTTTCGATTAAAATTCTGATTTCTGAAATAAGTTCATTATATCGACACCTTTTTTTAAACCCCACATTTGTTCTCCCGTGAAGTTCAGACAAGTTGTTTAGTAACCTTCAAAAAAGGTACAGTCACTCGATTTTTCTCAAGTTTGTCTGTCTTGGCAGATCAAGCAATGCCAGAGCAAGCTTACGATTCGGACACACAAATTTGATCAGGATCAGACGATTGGACACTTCTAAAAAAGAGATCTTTCGTGCTTCCCGGAAATTCACCGGAGAACAGATGTGGGGTTTAAAAAAAGGTGTCGATACGTTTGTTGAAAAAGATATTTTGTCAAGTTCGGTGCATTTGCCAGATAACCCGTCGTGATACGGCTATTTTCCACATTATTATCCATTTGTTGCTTACTGGCGTCGGGTACCTTCCAGTAGCAAAGCTTAGCCACTTACTCTTAGAATGCTGAGCCATTACAAAATACCATAGTCAACTGCTTTTATATGTTAGATAGCTTTTTGAGCAACATGAATTTTTTATATACCGTTGAGGAACGGCTTCGATCTCGCCTTTCCAGCGTTGCCTTGTGATGCTTGCAAATCCTTGCTTGCAATATGGTGGTGGGTTTAGCTTTCATGCAGGCCAGTAACTGATTGAATTTTCAATTTGCAGCATTGAGACTTGAGCGGCTGCTTCAACTCACCGCGTAGAGATGTCAATAACGAACTATAAACAGTTTATCTTAAAGTATTTTTTATGGGGATGCTTTTTATCAGCAGTTGTGCGGTGGTAGAAATCATCCGTCTTTTTATGCGTTAATCTCGACTCCGCTCTGGGATGGGTACGGCTCGGACCTCAGCTGGAGCATAAGTCACCGGCTTAGGCCGGCTGGAGTCACCCGGCTGTCTGTACGAACCGGTCGGCCTCTGACGTCACCGGCGGAGATGGGTGACGTCACCGGCTTTCGGAAGGCGCCGGGCGGCTCCCGGAGCCGCCGCTGCGTCGGCTCGGTCCGGATTCCGGCGACTTTTCCGGAGCTCCGGGTGGGGCCGGTGCCTGTGTGACTGCGGGGTCTCTGCTGGTTTTGTGCGTGATTCAAGCACCATTGTATAACGAGAAATGGACTGGCGATCCGCATGGACCGATGGGATGGACGATGGAATGGCATGGAAAATGGACCGCCTGGAGTCTTTCTTTTTATCGCAGTGATATATCCGTTTTAAGTGGCTTCGATGAAGTGCCAAAATAAATTATTTTCCTGAAGCATGTTTGTTATACGAGTGGAGAGCGGCCTGTTTTAGCCCCACACGACAGCTGCGGTTGCGACCTGACTGGATTTACGATCAAATAGCTGTATCGGCTCCCTTCTATCGGCACCACAGCATTGGGTCTCGAATCACGATAGACCCGAATACGAGGAGGAACTATTCTGGGCTACCCTTCGGGAGCGAGCCTCCTCGTGGAAGTCGCCTGAGAACCAATGGTGTCGCCTGTATGAGTTGCAATGCAGGTCATCCGGTTCGTCTGTAGAGCGCGGTGGAGAAGGGACCCATCCTATCAGTTGGGTCTTTCTTGGGTCGTTTGTAGTGTAACTTACAGTTATTACGGAGCGAGCGAAGCGAGCGTAGTCTTTCCTTAGAATAACGGAAATTTCTGAGTATGAGCGGCCGGCCGGCCGGCCGTGCGGACGCTTTTGCGAGGCTTATATCTCAGCAACCACTTGACCGATTTACACGCGGTAATTTTTGTAGGGTAGCTTCATTCCTTCTACCAAGTATTGGACTATTCCCGATGCATGTGGGTGACCCCTTATGCACGTGCCACGTGCAAAACGAAGAGGTGTCAGTTTGGTATTGTTGCAATATCACGGTAACTACTTAGCCGATTGCGCTGAAAGTTGGCATGTAGGTAGGCACCCACTAGGCACTGCATATCCATGTGCCAGAGTTGGGGTGCTGCTGCACGTGCGCACGTGCAGGGGTCGATTCCAGATCTCGAGAACGGCTGGACCGATTGCGCTCAAATTTGGTACACAGTTAGGGACCGGTTAGTAGGGTGCCGTGCACAAGTCATTTGGGACCGATTTTGCACGTACGCACGTGCAGGGTGTTGCTTCCAGATCTCGAGAACGGCTGGGCCGATTGTGCTCAAATTTGGCACATCGCTAGAGACCGGTTAGTAGGGTGCCGTGCACACTGCACAACTCAGTTGGAGGTACCCCCCCGCAATTTCGCACGTGCAAGGCTCACCCTCCCGCTCGCTCCGTTAGTCGCCCCAAAAGGCGTTATACTGGTATTAGCATCCCCGTCAATACTAGAGCGGTAGTGTCAGCTACTCCGTCTGTAGCGCTGGATTAGAACAATGACGTCACCTGCCCCCATCTGGGCCCTGTTTCACGGCGGAGCGCTGCAGCGCGTTGCGCGCGTCGGCGCGTTGGGTTTCCATGGCAATATCAACAAACTTCCCTCTGACGCTACGCTATGACGTCATCGCAAAACACTAGCACCGCGGCGCCAGCACCATCCGCACGCTAGCAGTATTCGCACTCAACTTCTGTTCAATTGGTACTAGGTTCTTCAAGGTCTCTGTTCGAAACGCGATTTACCATAAGCTAACGGATCGCACGCAACGTCATTCGAGTGACGTCAGGGGTATGCCTCAGCTCCCTGAGTGAGGCCACGACGTCACCCTTCCCGCATTTAGTGTATTACAGTGACGTCACCTGTCCCGTCTGTAGTATAAAGCAGTGACGTCACTGCTTTACCTCACACTGCTCACTCACACCTGTCCCGTCTGTAGTACAAAGCAGTGACGTCACCTGCTCCGTCTGTAGTGTACTACAGTAAGGTCATCCGTCGTAGTCTGCAGTGTGAGTGAGGCCATGACGTCATCCTTTCCCGTATGTAGTGTATTACAGTGACTTCACCTGTCCCGTCTGTAGTATAAAGCAATGACGTCATCCGTCCGTCCCCGTCTGAAGTGTGACAGTGACGTCATCCGGCCCAGTCAGCTGAGTAGAGAAGTGACGTCACTCGGTCTGCGGGTGCCCCACCGTCGCTCGGCTGGCCGTACCGGTCACGTGACCAGGTCATCAGCCAATCGCCGAGCGGCGCCGACGTCACTCGGGCCGTACTTGAAGGTGGCGGCGCCACCGGAGGCCAGCCAGTCTCTCCCGAGAACAGCCAGTGACGCGACATGAAGGTGTTCATCCTGCTGGTAAGTACTCATCGGGGAGACGGGTCCTGCGAGAGTCAACAGTCTCACGTACCGTCAGTGACGCCTCGGGGCTGTGCTTTGTCCGACTCTGACCTCAGAGTAGCATCGTTGATAGCAAAAGTGAAAGCCAGTGAAAGGTGTTTAGTTGCTACTAGTCGGTCTACCTCTGGACGTCGCGCAACTGTGACATATGTTCGTGTGCTTAAATCGTTCGTCAGCCAGCTCACATATAGCCAATTACAGTCGGCCAAAATACCCAGAAATGCCTTCTACAGCACGATAATTGAGTCATCCAGTCTGTGCTCCCCAGTTCCCACCGTAATTAGGTCTTATCAACTGGGGCATCAAAGACCGGTCCTACTCAAGGTTATAACGAGCGGACTGGTGACCCTCGTGAATGATCGACGGGCCCGGGGAAGGCAGTGTGGTCCATTCTGCGCACGCGGAAGACTTTGCCGTCGTCCTTGTTCGCACCAATCAAGCAAGCATACGATATTTACCAATTCGCATCTGTTCATCGCCGGACTCGTGTCCTGACCGTTTTCCCACCCTAACCGAGCAGGTGGGAACAGACCCGAGCAGGCAGCAGCACACTTTGTCCCACGGGGTCGGAATGGAGCCGGGCGGAGAACGTGCCAGCGAGCATGGCCTCTATTGCATGGCCCTGAGCGGCAGCCCTTCCACCGAACGTGACCCGGCCGACCGCCTATCAACCGTGACCCGGTCACCCGGCCGACCTCTTCCCACGGCCAAACGCCAGGAGCGGAACGGCAAGGGCAAACAATTCTTCCGACAACTACAGGCCAACTGCGGACCTCAATGAAAACCCCAAATGCCGAGTCGCTCGTTATTTTGGTATGCAATGCCACTTTAAAATGTTTAATCCGCAGCAAGCGGAGAGGACTGAGGAGCATCAACTAAGAAGGCTCGAATTAACCCAACGGGTTGGCACCACCTAACGTGAGTGGATGACTATGACTGTCACATTGCGAATGCCATTCTCCGCCAGTACTCATAGTCAATCCGTTCATCCAGTTTACCGCCCACCGCTCGCCAGTCCGTCCGGGCAGTGTCATGTCCGCCCGTCCATGCAGTTGTCTGTCCAGTCTACTGCACACCGGAGTGTGGAGACCACACTCGCCCCCCAATCTACCACCCGTTCGGTCGGTCTCCTGCCCACTACCCATATATCTAATGTCCCATCCCAACACCCATCGTTTCAGTCCAATGTTCACAGTCCATATGTTCCATTCCAACGTCCGTATGCTCTGTCCATATTTCGTCCTTCCAGTAACATTTGTCCAGTCCACCCTCTGTCCATTGTCTCGGTCATGGCCGGCCGGTCCGCGAGCGCCGTCAACCCATGGGGGAGTGGCTCGCCATCCAGTCTCGCCTCTGCAGGGGCCGCCGCGCGCGTCACCTCTGCAGGGGCCGGCCATGATCACCACGGGACGGTATGACACAGGCGTGGTGCCGTACGTCACGACTCACGAGCGCCGCGAGGTTCGTGACGTAATACATAATGTAGACGGCCCAGCGTCGCCGAGCAGCCGTACTCTTTCTACCTTCATATCACGGATCAGCCGGTCCTGTACAGTCAGACGATTTTGCCTGCATACCGAAGATATTTCGCAAATACTGCTTGTCGTACTCCGCTCACTGCGAACCGGCATACGAACACAGGAATCTGTTTACCGGTGCCGAGCAGACTGCAGGGATTTAAGTGCAGCAGACATACGAGAAACACCAGCATTCATCATCCGGAAATAAACTGCATCGCTGGCGCATGTAACATTCCGTATAACTTTCCGCGTTCGTTACAGATTGTCAATATGGTACTTAGTTAGGTAAAAATAACTTAGTTAAAAAAATAACTTAGTTAGGTATAACTATCCAACGAACCAGACCTAGGTAATAGCTACCACCTGCCTAGTGGACCGCTATCTCGATCAGGTAGCCAGGATCAATGACACCTACATATAACGAAGCATTGGCACAGCGGCCCCCAAGATGCAGGCCAAGGCGGGGCGGAGCTAGGAACGCAATGCTTACTTTCACCTGGAAAAGACGGCGACCACATCGGCACGGCACCACCGACGCGCCAAGTAGGCAATCAACTTCGCTGTTCCGTTGAAGCCAGCTCGCTGACCGCAGAACTCCTCGAAATGGCGTGGAATACGGACAGCGTACCTTCACGTCATCCAACAGGGATCGAGCCATCAATTAATGAGATGTGCACAGGATTCCGAGCTTATTGGTGACGTCACCTAATCACGAAACAGGATACCGAATTCAAAGACAGATGAGTGATGACTAAAGGCTGTAGCCGACCAGTTTACTACGTCGTATTATAAATCAGCACCACTTAGCCGAATGGCAGGTAGAAGGCATACCAATGACAGGCTGTGTCGACAGCACGACCCCATCATAGGCGGCGGAACGGGGAGGGCACCGGGGCACCGTGCCCCCTTTGATTTTGGCATTTTAACATTAGCCCTATGGGCGTTGCATGGAAAGAATGGGACCAAAAGTCGGCAGTGCTCCCCCCCCCTTAATTGAAGGTGTTCCGCCGCTACTGGACCCCATGTCAGTCGGGGAAACTATGGTAAAATCTGCTATTTTTAGCAGTCTGCTATTTTTAGCAGAAATCTGCTAAAAATGGGTACGCATGTGACGTCATCGTACCCAAATATAGCAGATTTGGGTACGGCCCCATACAAAAGCAGATCTGCACCCTAATTGAAGCAAATGCGCATCAAATGCCTGGCAGATTCATGATGAGAATAGTGCTGAGTGTGATCTCTGCTATTTTTGTTCAGATCCGACTATTTTCAAATTCATTATTTAAAAATAGTCGGATCTGAACAAAAATATCAGAGGACATTCTCAGCACTATTCTTATCATGAATCTGCCAGGCATTTGATGCGCATTTGCTTCAATTAAGGTGCAGATCTGCTTCTGTATGGGGCCGTACGTACCCAAATCTGCTATATTTGGGTACGATGATGTCACATGCGTACCCATTTTTAGCAGATTTCTGCTAAAAATAGCAGACTGCTAAAAATAGCAGATTTTACCATAGTTTCCCCGACTGATGTATGAAATTAACCACCCACCGACTGATGCGGCTCAGGTGACTTCCGTATGACATCATGCTCTGCGTGTTTCAGTGTGTGGTGGGCGCGGCGGTGGCGCGGCCCGAGCTGCTGGACGGCCTGGAGCACAGCCACGAGGCGCATCACGAGCACCCGCAGCCTTACGAGGAGCCGGTGGGACCGCCGCAGCCGTACCAGTTCACCTACCAGGCCGGCCGCTACCCCAACCACGTGGACCGCACCCACAGGTCAGTTGGCGCCGCCCGCCACTGGAACGCACACAGTCCCGCGAACCGCGGTCCCGTATCACAGTACAATGAAACTGGGAACAGCCGCTCCAGCAAGGAGCATACCGAAGTAGCTGTGGTCACCGGTGGGGTAGATCAGTTAGCCATGCGACTTGAGATTGTCAGTCCATTACGATGCCCGTATGACACCATTTTTATCTCAAACTGACCCGTACTGACGCACCCGTCCACTTCCCCAGCGAGAGCCGCGGCACGGACGGCGTGGTGGTCGGCACCTACGAGTACCTGGACCCGCTGAAGCGCGTCGTCAAGGTCGACTACACGGCCGACCAGAACGGCTTCCATCCCAACGTGCAGGGACCGGTGCCGCAGGCGCCCAGGGTGAGTCCGCCGCCGCTCGGCCGCGCCTCAAAGGGAGAGCGGGGAGCGAGGGAGAGCGGGATCCTCGGCTTATCCTGACCTTGACGGCCGTCGGAGGTCAGCGTCGCCAGAGCCGCTCACGAACCTTCTCCGGCCACCCGGGACCGTAAAAAGTCGGACGCGGCCCACGACCCCGCCGGTGCCTCCACACGGACAATGGCCGAGCTGAGACACCTCGGAGGTTTTGCGACATGCCCACTTTTACCACTCGCTGGAGTGTCCATCGACCGGCAACGCACGCAGTGTGTCTAATCCGGCCCCCGGACGGTACCGGCCGGCCGTCCGTCCATCCCGGCGGACAGCTGCGCCATGACGGCCCCCTCTCCGCCGACTGAGCCGGATACAGGCGTCTTGTGTGGGCGTATCGCAAACCCTGGTTGGGGACATAAATCCCACAATCCGGCCAAGTCGTCGAAACAATGCGACGGCGCTCCTTTCCAATTAATCCAAAGCATCACATGCGCCGTGGCGAAGCTTGCAAAGCCGGTCAAGTTACGAAGATGATTCATTAAAATGACCAGCTTACAAGTGCAGGGAATACGTGCGGAAGGAATTCGTTCACAAACAAGTCACTTGTTTATCCTGTGATTACCGTTACATGAAAGTCCACCATCCCCTCTATTGCGCAAAAAAATACGCCCCTCAAGCGGATTTCGCCATGCCCCCCCCCCCCCCCCCCACCGCACGTGAATGCCCCATTAAAACGAGCGTCTGTCCTCCCGGTCCGCAGGAGTCGGCTGCGGTGGCGGCCGCGCGTGAGAACTTCTTCACCCGCTCGGCACAGATCGTGGCCGAGCAGGCGCGCATCGGCCAGGAGCACGCCCGGCTGCGGGCGATCGCAGAGGCCGAGCGGGCCCAGCGCGAGGCCGCCGAGCAGCAGCAGTACCAGTGAGGCGGCCGGCGTTCACGCGCAGCGCCGCCACCGACCGGAGCGCAGCTACTGCGCCCGCTGATACACATAATCGTCCTAGTGTTTCCCGGTCACCGCTTCCCCCCCCCCCCCCCTCCAGCGTATCACTCGTAGCATATTTATATGTCCAGTGTCAATAAATATATGTTCGGTTCCTTTCGTTGAAGTTTCTGGCCCATGACAGTGCGATGCGCAGCGGCTGCCCGCCGTCGCCTGCGGCGCCTTATTATTCACAAGGCCATGGAGCACTAAGGTTACCAACCCTCGCCCCCGCTAGTCCGGGGTGACGGCACTCCTTTCCGCATTCCTTCGCGAACCAAAAACCCCACATCTCGTCTCTGGTCAGGCACCACACAAACATACTCGATCGATTGGGTGTTTATTTTCTGAAAATACACACTGTTGACAGTGTTATATCGTAGTAAATCCATATATTTTCCCGCTACATATGGTCACTTCTACAAAATAAAGCCATGGGAAAGTTAATCTATAATTTCTGAAGCAAAAACAGCAACTTCAATACTTTTGACATATTTAAAACAAAAAACTTTTATTAGACTGAATCGAAGCTGACGACTGCCACTTCTCTCCACGCTCTGATACAGTTGGTGAATGCAGTTACCTTACCCGACCTCTGTGCCGATCGGCCGCCGCCAGGCCGCATGCTTCAATCCGGAGCACTGCAGAGCGGCACCTGGCGGACAGTCCACCCGTCAAACACTGCGGCGGTGCGGCAGGGATGGGCGCCGTCACACGCCAGTCAGCTCTCATAATCGCGGCACACGGGGTCCCGCCGTCCGCCCGCCGCCCACGCCACGCCCCCAGGGTAGTCTGAATTGAGTTACGCCGACCGGCGCCCCGCTCATCGCACTCGCAGCGGCCGCACGCAGACGCTTCCAACCAGAGCCGGCGGGCATCGCCTCGGCGCCCGGCGCCACTGAGAGGGCGCCCCAGCGCGTCCTAGGCGCCCGCCGGCCAGGGTCCTTTTCTGTTCATCCACCCGTCCCGGCTAGGACGGTGCCCTGCTAGGGCATCCCGCCACCCTGGCGGGCGTGCCTCGTCTCAGACCTTCCCAGGGGTGAGCGGCGGGGCATCGAGTGCCCGTCAGTGACCCCTAGAGCGGACGTGGGGGCGTGACCAGGCGGCGGGCAGCGGCCACCCTTGCCATTATAGGTGTCATCAGGATAGGACAATTGTACATCAACCTAACTTTGCCAATCAATAAAGCCATGCATAGTGTATACCTCCGGCGTCAACGGCATTGATCAATGTCAATACATTACAGTTTATCGATAAGAAAAATCAACCACTAACATTGAAACAACTTGTATAAACTCCGGAGCCTTGAATATTTGTGTCCTTGGAAGTACCATTATCCTACTCATTGCCCTCTTTGGAGAGGAATTCCCCTTCAGACAACTAATCCAAAATACAATTTTGGAATGCTGTGACGGACTAAAAAAAAAAACCTCAGTCGACATCAACCGATCGCATAAAAATGTTTTTGACCTCTTGAAGAACACACAGGTATACCAATCCAGCTTCTAAGAAAACGGTGCAAGACCGTGCAAAACCGATCGTCGAAGTTCAATTTGGCGCTGCGGTTTGTTTTTCAGCACCGAACGATATAAACTAGCTCAATTAGTGAACTGCTGGACATTCTGGTACTGAATTTTGAAATGCGCAGTCTTCAATTTTTTTTTTATTTAATCCAAAATAAATGTGCGGTGCATCTTTTTTTAAATAAAACTAACGGGAAGTATTGACGGAGCTGCAACCTCTGTGGCATTACAGTTGAAAAGGACTACACAGGACGAAAATTTAAATAGTGGTAACGTTGCAAAAGTTCACGCGAAACAGATACCAACACATACACTGAAACTGTCTTCCTTATCAGGAACTGCAGATGTCTCACCTCAAGCGCTCCGCTGCCGTCCTGGTCCGAGGGCGCCGCGATGTCATCCAGGGGCCGCCGTCAGCCTGACCGACAGACCAGTCGTCAAACACTGCGGCGGTGCGGCCGGGACAAGCACAGTCACACGCCAGTCAGCTCTCATAATCGCGGCACACCGGGTCCCGCCGTCCGCCCGCCGCCCACGCCACGCCCCCAGGGTAGTCTGAATTGAGTTACGCCGACCGGCGCCCCGCTCATCGCACTCGCAGCGGCCGCACGCAGACGCTTCCAACCAGAGCCGGCGGGCATCGCCTCGGCGCCCGGCGCCACTGAGAGGGCGCCCCAGCGCGTCCTAGGCGCCCGCCGGCCAGGGTCCTTTTCTGTTCATCCACCCGTCCCGGCTAGGACGGTGCCCTGCTAGGGCATCCCGCCACCCTGGCGGGCGTGCCTCGTCTCAGACCTTCCCAGGGGTGAGCGGCGGGGCATCGAGTGCCCTTCAGTGACCCCTAGAGCGGACGTGGGGGCGTGACCAGGCGGCGGGCAGCGGCCACCCTTGCCATTGTAGGTGTCATCAGGATAGGACAATTGCACATCAACCTAACTTTGCCAATCAATAAAGCCCTGCATAGTGTATACCTCCGGCGTCAACGGCATTGATCAATGTCAATACATTACAGTTTATCGATAAGAAAAATCAACCACTAACATTGAAACAACTTGTATAAACTCCGGAGATGTGAATATTTGTGTCCTTGGAAGTACCAATATCCTACTCATTCTCCTCTTTGGAGAGGAATTTCCCTTCAGACAACCAATCCAAAATACAATTTCGGAACGCTGTGACGGACTAAAAAAAACCTCAATCGACATCAATGGATCGCAATTAAATGTTTTTAACCTTTCGAAGAATACACAGGTATACTAAGCCAGTTTATAAAATAAAGGTGCGGTGCAACTTACTATTAACGGAAAGTATTGACGGAGCTGCATCCTCTGTGGCATTAAAGTTGAAAAAGACAACACAGAACAGTAATTAAGTGGTAACGTTGCAAAAGTACACGCGAAACAGGTACCAACACATACTGGAACTGTCTTCCTTATCAGGAACTGCAGATGTCTCACCTCAAGCTCTCCGCTGCCGTCCTGGTCCGAGGGCGCCGCGATGTCATCCAGGGGCCGCCGTTAGCCTGACGGACAGACCAGTCGTCAAACACTGCGGCGGTGCGGCCGGGACAAGCACAGTCACACGCCAGTCAGCTCTCATAATCGCGGCACACGGGGTCCCGCCGTCCGCCCGCCGCCCACGCCACGCCCCCAGGGTAGTCTGAATTGAGTTACGCCGACCGGCGCCCCGCTCATCGCACTCGCAGCGGCCGCACGCAGACGCTTCCAACCAGAGCCGGCGGACATCGCCTCGGCGCCCGGCGCCACTGAGAGGGCGCCCCAGCGCGTCCTAGGCGCCCGCCGGCCAGGGTCCTTTTCTGTTCATCCACCCGTCCCGGCTAGGACGGTGCCCTGCTAGGGCATCCCGCCACCCTGGCGGGCGTGCCTCGTCTCAGACCTTCCCAGGGGTGAGCGGCGGGGCATCGAGTGCCCATCAGTGACCCCTAGAGCGGACGTGGGGGCGTGACCAGGCGGCGGGCAGCGGCCACCCTTGCCATTATAGGTGTCATCAGGAAAGACAAGAAACACCCTCTTGTGATATGGACTTACGTACCATTAGGCGTTGCTAGTAGACAGAAGAGACTGGAAAACGTCAAGCAGAACGGCAGCAACGTCGGCCCCAATCCTTGCAATCAGTTTCCCTAGGGACAAAAACCGATCATAGATGGCGCTGAGCTACCCCACACCTTTCAGGAACCACTAAAATGGCCACAGTCAGAACAGTCCTTTGCGCAGAATCCCCGCTCCAAGACTGAATACAGGGCAGAGTGAGCGCACATATAACAGACCATTATAATTAAACGTAACTTTTCCTCACAAGCATATCTCGGCAAAACCGTGGCGAAACTACCTAAGAACATCATACAACAGATATACATAGAAGATTCCCACCATACGCGCCTTCCGTCCTTGATCTAGGGGAAGCTGAAGTCAAGGGATCGTCTAGTGATGACTTCCGTGCTTACACCCATAACTTAACACGCCTCAGGCACCTCGGTGTCTAGTGGCAATTTCTGGAGCCCCCTTACTTTACAGGGGGCAACTTACCCGTAGCATTTTCATGTCCTTAAGGACTCTACGAGTTCAACTCACCACGAAAGACGATCTGCAAGCATCCAGAGTCGAGTTGCCTCATTAGCTGTCCCACCGTTCACTGAAACGAAACAAAGCCTTGTTACCACCGCACGTAGATCCCCGGAGTGACACCGCCTCCCACCACACGCGAGCGCACCCAGACGACCACTGGACGCGCACCGCCCGTGCTCACGCCCGCCTCGACCCGGGCGTCGCCGCCGGGCACTCGGAGGTGGCCCCTGGCCTGGTAGGCCGGCCCGCACGGCAGGCGCCACACCGTCCCCGGCCCGGTAGGCAGAGCCGCACAGTGCCAGCCATACACAGACGGTTGAACACATCACGTCCAGCTAAAAAGCTCAATAATAATATGAACGGCGGCGGACTGGGACGCCATAAATATATCCGGCAATTATCCACGATAATTCAAACATCTATGGACATTTTATGGTTAGCAAAATCCCGCTGAGACTTTTCTATACACTAATATCAACTTAAGTTTTTTTTTTCATAACTTGTAGGCAAACGTCGTACCGACACGACATCAAAAGCCGGGGCGGTATAGCGGTTCGACAGTAGTAATGTTCGCAGGTAGGGAACGCCAGCGGAGCCATGGAAACGCTCCGCTGGAGCTGATCTGCGCAGTTGCCGGGAAGTTCCTGACTTGTGAATCGGCGTCCGACTGTGACAGCGCGCACCAAAAGGGCAGCTCACTCACCACTCGTTTTGCCGCGGACCGCCAATCGCAGGTGAACGTCCGCCATATCGTTCTTCTGACCCCGCTCCACAGAGCGACGCGACGACCGGGAACCTGAAGGCACAGGGCGGTAAGCGTCAGCACATGGTCGGAGAATACACTACAGGGGAAAATACCGACGAATATGTCAGGCTAACAGGGAAACTTTTCTGCATCGCCGTAGCTAGAAGCGAGCTGGGTGTTATCATCATGAACTAGAAATCACTCTTTACACATGGTGTCCGTTCTCACCTCGTCAACGTGGCCGACAGTCATTCTACGGCGATCCCACCAGTCTGCCGCCGCGTAGCCTGAAAAAGAAGACGGGTTGCTGTAACGCTAAGCACTCCGCAGCGTAGCCTTCAGGAAGTTGCTGTTCGATACGCACAAATGAATTATAGAACATCATAGTTGACAGAACAGACGGAATGTGCACAAACTTCGTCCGGCAGTCGGCGTGTTCACCGACAGTCGATACTGAGGTTTGTCCAGTCTCTGTTCGCGACATGGGAAAGCCGACCGCAGCCATAGCATCACCGGGTCGGGGCAAAGTTCGCGACACGTGAATTCAGTGACAGAGACAGACTCGAGTCTTCACGGAAAACTGACAGCAAGACTCACAAAAACGCGAAAAGAATATATTCAGGTGCTTACCAGGTAAATGTTACTGCCGTGAATGCACCGGCTTCGTGAAAGCTGGGTACCTCCGTCAAACCTGAGGGTAAGAACAACAGTCAACAAACAGGAATCTTAGAAGCAGCTGTTTTGCGTAAAAATGGGAGAGCATGTTCGAATGAACATCTGAAGGCTTCTTCGAGCAACTTCTGAAGGCTTCGAATGAACATAACCAAGAACTACACATGGGAACGGTGATGTTTTGTCCGTAGACATTTCCGAGCTCCGGCGCCGGGGCAGCGGCGGAGCAGGATAGATCGACGGTCTGCTGTACGCAGATAAAACGCCACAAAAGCCACCGGTACGGTTCATGTGGAGCTGGTCTGCGGGACGGCGCCACTGCCTGCCGGGACGGCCGCTGGCCACTCACCGTGTCGGGAGAGGGACTCTGGCCGACAGCCGCCACCGGACCACGTCCTGTGGGGAGACGGTACCGCGGTCAGAGCCAGCGTCACCGGACAGACACACCCGGCCGGCCACCGGCCGTCAGGCTAACAGGGAAACTTTTCTGCATCGCCGTAGCTGGAAGCGAGCTGGGTGTTGTCATCAGATAAAGTGAGTGAATATGATTACGTTAATTCATACTTCATAGGTAGAAAAGAAAAAACGCGCCTTAAAAGCACATAGGCAAGTGGCATCGATATTCAAGGTAACAATCATGGCCCAAAGCTATTTTACTTTGATGGTTTAAGCTTGGGTTCGGCCAGGCCGTTTTTCGCGTGGAATTTCCACGCCGAGGAATTTCTCACGAAAACAGCCGTTCGGGCATCGCGAAACAGGCTTGCCCGTCGGACATCGCGAACGGCTGTTTTCGCGAGGAATTCTTTGGTAAAGAAATCCACGCAAAAAAAACGGCCAATCCGAACACACGGATAATTTTCATGGGCAAAGGGAAGAAAATGAGGGTCAGGTTACTTTGACGAATCGTTGATAAATTCCATTTAATAGGTAGTTATTATTCATTCAACCATCTACAAAAAAAAACTTTAACCGAACAAGATACTGATGCTCCTTACCTGTAGAAGAAGTCAGGCTACTTCACAGAAAAAAAAATGATTCCGGCGCCATTCGTAGAGCCTGGAAAGGTAATAAAACTACGATTAATGGAAGTGTGTGAGCAGCAGACGACTAGAATCTTGCTCTCTAGATTCGAACGAAATGACACTAGCTTGCATATAGGGCTTTCCGCGGAGCTGACACCTGCGACATTTAACATTACTATCAAAGATAATTCAATGGTGCCAAAAATCCCCGACTGCTTTGGGTAGATACGCTGAGTATAGTTAGTCAAAATCGGTGGCCGAAAACCGGCGTACCATCACAACCAAGACCGTAGCCGTTAGCGGTAATGCATTGTCCGTAGACATTTCCGAGCTCCGGCGCCGGGGCAGCGGCGGCGGAGCAGGATAGATCGACGGTCTACTGTACGCAGATAAAACGCCACAAAAGCCACCGGTACGGTTCATGTGGAGCTGGTCTGCGGGACGGCGCCACTGCTTGCCGGGCGGCCGCTGGCCACTCACCGTGTCGGGAGAGGGACTCTGGCCGACAGCCGCCACCGGACCACGTCCTGTGGGGAGACGGTACCGCGGTCAGAGCCAGCGTCACCAGACAGACACACCCGGCCGGCCACCGACCGTCAGGCTAACAGGGAAACTTTTCTGCATCGCCGTAGCTGGAAGCGAGCTGGGTGTTGTCATCAGATGAAGTGAATGAATATGATTACGTTAATTCATACTTCATAGGTAGAAAAGAAAAAACGCGCCTTAAAAGCACATAGGCAAGTGGCATCGATATTCAAGGTAACAATCATGGCCCAAAGCTATTTTACTTTGATGGTTTAAGCTTGGGTTCGGCCAGGCCGTTTTTCGCGTGGAATTTCCACGCCGAGGAATTTCTCACGAAAACAGCCGTTCGGGCATCGCGAAACAGGCTTGCCCGTCGGACATCGCGAACGGCTGTTTTCGCGAGGAATTCTTTGGTAAAGAAATCCACGCAAAAAAAACGGCCAATCCGAACACACGGATAATTTTCATGGGCAAAGGGAAGAAAATGAGGGTCAGGTTACTTTGACGAATCGTTGATAAATTCCATTTAATAGGTAGTTATTATTCATTCAACCATCTACAAAAAAAAACTTTAACCGAACAAGATACTGATGCTCCTTACCTGTAGAAGAAGTCAGGCTACTTCACAGAAAAAAAAAAATGATTCCGGCGCCATTCGTAGAGCCTGGAAAGGTAATAAAACTACGATTAATGGAAGTGTGTGAGCAGCAGCAGACGACTAGAATCTTGCTCTCTAGATTCGAACGAAATGACACTAGCTTGCATATAGGGCTTTCCGCGGAGCTGACACCTGCGACATTTAACATTACTATCAAAGATAATTCAATGGTGCCAAAAATCCCCGACTGCTTTGGGTAGATACGCTGAGTATAGTTAGTCAAAATCGGTGGCCGAAAACCGGCGTACCATCACAACCAAGACCGTAGCCGTTAGCGGTAATGCATTGTCCGTAGACATTTCCGAGCTCCGGCGCCGGGGCAGCGGCGGCGGAGCAGGATAGATCGACGGTCTACTGTACGCAGATAAAACGCCACAAAAGCCACCGGTACGGTTCATGTGGAGCTGGTCTGCGGGACGGCGCCACTGCTTGCCGGGCGGCCGCTGGCCACTCACCGTGTCGGGAGAGGGACTCTGGCCGACAGCCGCCACCGGACCACGTCCTGTGGGGAGACGGTACCGCGGTCAGAGCCAGCGTCACCGGACCGGCACACCCGGCCGGCCACCGACCGTCAGGCTAACAGGGAAACTTTTCTGCATCGCCGTAGCTGGAAGCGAGCTGGGTGTTGTCATCAGATAAAGTGAGTGAATATGATTACGTTAATTCATAGGTAGAAAAAAAACGTGTCTTAAAGGCACATAGGCAAGTGGAATCGATATTCAAGGTAACAACCATGACCCATAACTATTTTACTTTGATGGTTAAGCTTGGGTTCGGCCAGGCCGTTTTTCGCGTGGAATTTCCATACCGAGGAATTCCTCACGAAAACAGCCGTTCGGGCATCGCGAACGGCTGCTTTCGTGAGGAATTCTTTTGCATAGAAATCCACGCAAAAAAACGACCAATGCGAACCCACGGTTAATTTTCATGGGCAAAGGAAGAAAATGAGGGTCAGGTTACTTTGGCGAATCGTTGATAAATTCCATTTAACCCTCGCCCGCACATGGGGGGGGGTTGCCACCCCCCCCCCCCAGGCAGTCTTTCTGCTCTGCACTCAACATTTTTAGAGCTAGAGGGCTGATTTTTCGTATAGCTGCTCGTCTATCCTTTCTTGATGTCCACTGAAAATTTCAAGTTTCTGTGATTTTTGGTTTCGGAGATATGACCTTGTTTTTCAGGTCATGTCATGACCCAAATGGCCAATTCTCAACATCTTGCGTTTGCCATGGGCTTTGTGAGCTTTTTACACCCTGATTTCGGCCTTTTTTGCCAGTCTTACCTCCCACCTATCATGGAACATGTTGTTCGACGATGTACAGGGGTCAAGGTCAGGGTCAAGGTCAACCTAGGTCATCTAAGATAATTGCGTTTTAGGCAAGCTGAATTTACTTCTTGTGAAGTTTTTTGACTGCATTTTTGGTAAAAGCTTCTCAGATCATGATTTCATGTGATATGGACCCAAAAACAATCGGTGCACACATCAGTATACACACAGACACACACAGACATACAAACACATATAATTGACCTTGACCTAACTTGACCTGAAATGACCTCAGCAGCAAAATTCTGGTCGGATAGTGTGACAAAGAGGTTCTAGCTGGCTTGGCACCAGAAAACAGCATCGTCATCGGTATTTGATAAGCAGCGCACTTGATATCCCACGGTGACCCAAAACAGCAACATTTTTTAGTTTGACCTGACCTGGAAGGTCAATGACTGACCTGATAAGGTAAAACTGGGTATCATTGGATTCGTCTCTTCCCAAAGAATCTTTTTGGTCTTTACTGCTAAGCTCTATCTCCAACAGGAACGAAATGGCGCGGGGGGGGGGGTGGCAACCCCCCCCCCCCCATGTGCGTTCTAGGATGGGAAAATGGCATGTGCGGGCGAGGGTTAATAGGTAGTAATAGATTATTCGTTCAACCATCTACAAAAAAAAAACTTAAACCGAGCAAGATACTGACGCTCCTTACCTGCAGAAGACGGAGTCAGTCCACTTCACAGAAATAATGAGTCTGGCGCGATTTCGTAGAGCCTGGAAAGGTAATAAAACTAAGATGAACGAAAGTGTGTGAACAGCAGAATTAAAGTCGACTAGAATCTTGCTCTCTAGATTCGAACGAAATGACACTAGCTTGCAACAGGGCTTTCCGCGGAGCTGACACCTGGGACATTACTATCAAAGATTATTTTAATTCAATGGTGCAAAAAATCCCCGACTGGTTTGGGTAGATACGCTGAGTATAGTTAGTCAAAATCGGTGGCCGAAAACCGGCGTACCATCACAACCAAGACCGTAGCCGTTTACGGTAATGGATGTCCGTAGACATTTCCGAGCTCCGGCGCCGGGGCAGCGGCGGCGGAGCAGGATAGATCGACGGTCTACTGTACGCAGATAAAACGCCACAAAAGCCACCGGTACGGTTCATGTGGAGCTGGTCTGCGGGACGGCGCCACTGCCTGCCGGGACGGCCGCTGGCCACTCACCGTGTCGGGAGAGGGACTCTGGCCGACAGCCGCCACCGGACCACGTCCTGTGGGGAGACGGTACCGCGGTCAGAGCCAGCGTCACCGGACAGACACACCCGGCCGGCCACCGGCCGTCAGGCTAACAGGGAAACTTTTCTGCATCGCCGTAGCTGGAAGCGAGCTGGGTGTTGTCATCAGCTGATGAAGTGAATGAATATGATAACGTTGATTCATCGGAAAAACGAAACAGAATCACCCAACTTATCGTCGTGATATTTTAACAAAGGTCCAGGCCCAACATTATATTGTCCTTCGTATTTATAGTTCAGAAATTATCACTGACAGCTGGGAGATACGAGTACACGTCCTCATGCATATATTTTCGCAAACGTTGGAATATACTGTTCCGTCTTAGTACACTGCAGATAAACCATTCCAGAAAAAGTTTGCTGCAGCTGCCTGCTTACCTTTCAATTTCCATGGCGCCTGCCAAGAGCATCCGCGAATGCACAACGGCCAATAGTGCGGCCGCTCCTGGGGCCTGGAAGAAAAACATCGCAATAAATACCGGTGTGTGAGCAGCAAAATGTTGGCAGCTTGACAGCACTTGCCCTTTAGGTTCGATTGAAGGGAGACTGACTTGCTAGGATACTGATTTGCTAAAGCTTCCGGAGATACATTGGGCGAGGTATCAGAGATTCTTTGTTTCTCTATGCTAAATACATAACATTTTTAAAAAGACCGTTTTGATAAATGCCATAGCCGTAAGCCGGCTTATCGTTACGACTGAGGCTAAAGTCATTTAGGGTAATGGATTGTCCGTAGACATTTCCGAGCTCCGGCGCCGGGGCAGCGGCGGAGCAGGATAGATCGACGGTCTGTTGTACGCAGATAAAACGCCACAAAAGCCACCGGTACGGTTCATGTGGAGCTGGTCTGCGGGACGGCGCCACTGCCTGCCGGGCGGCCGCTGGCCACTCACCGTGTCGGGAGAGGGACTCGGGCCGACGGCCGCCACCGGACCACGTCCTGTGGGGAGACGGTACCGCGGTCAGAGCCAGCGTCACCGGACCGGCACACCCGGCCGGCCACCGACCGTCAGGCTAACAGGGAAGCTTTTCTGCATCGCCGTAGCTGGAAGCGAGCTGGGTGTTGTCATCATAACGCAATATGTGAGCCAATGTTACCAATAAAACAATCCTTCAATTCTGTCAGCGCAAAATCACCGGCGCAAATGCTCTTAAAATCAGGATTATATAATAGGCCTTACGCAAGCCTTACGCACCTTTAAATTCGGTAGAAGTTTCATGTCCTCGAGCTTCGCATTTCGAAAAATCCTGAGAAAACGAAAACAGCAATTTAAGAAAAACAGCGGTCTGGTGTAACTTGTCAGGAATGTGTAAATGAGTACATAAAAAAATCATACGTGTATACAGACCTCTTTCAGACACTCGTACGCATAACAAAGTGCCAGGCTAGAGGTCCGCACGTTTTCTGTTCGCGACAAGGGAAAGCCGTCCACATCCATGGCCAGGGATGGGACGGGGCAAAGGCCGCGCCGGTCGGCCCGTGCTCGCTCCGATACTGACCTGGGACGGCAGCGCGGACAGCTGCACCGACCGGCGTGAGGAGTTGCAGACGCCATCCAGATAAAGCCTGTGGAAGATTACCGGTCGTTAGAATGCAATCATGCATTGATCTTTGATGGGTTCTTGAAGTGTGCAGACGTGTTTTGCTGTGCTCTAGAAAACTTGGATTTTAGCCGATAATAGCTTGTTTTCATTAATGTATTATATATTGGCATGTTCCTAATTTAACGTAGATGTTATGGAACATACTTTTGTGTCATATAAGTATAAGATGAGTCTTTATTCTTACATCTAAAAGTTGATTTTTTCTAGTCTTTGTTTAAAAAAAAAAACAGTAAAAGTAGGGCAAAGTGCCCTTGATTTTCGTAGGAAGGCTCGTGCAGCTAAATAGAGTAGTTGTTCGTTTTCAAGATACCATTAGCTGAATTATGAACGACTCTGTTGGCGAAGATTCTGAGACATCCTCACTCATTGAAGGATTTGATCCATTCTTTGAAGAGTGGGTTGTAGCGAACAAGCGTAAGAGGAACAGAAAGGGCAAAAAAGCCGGTGCCTTGCCCTCTAGTAAAAGCGTGCCAAAGGTCACGGGCAATGTTATTTGTAATGGATCCGAGGGCAAGCCTTGCGGAAAATCGGTTTCGAACGACGTTTTTGGTTCAATCAGATGCCAAATATGCATGACCTGGTACCATCCAGCTTGCCAGGGCCTGGAGGAGGAGGCGTACAAAGCGATTACTCGATTTGGTCTCCTTTGGCTGTGCGAGGAATGTGAAGATCACGTGCAGGATTTCCGCAATCTTGTGCAGGGAAAAGTGTCAATTGAAAAGAAGATGGATGCGCAATTCTCGAGTGTAGAGAGCCAGATGAAGGAAATGCACCAGGCTATTCTGGAAAACACTGCTATCCTAAAACAACAAGAAAAAGCCGCAGGTGATCGAATGAAGCTGATTGAAGGATGCATAAGCGAGAAAAAGTCACAGGAAAGTACCTATGCAGAAATAGTGAGAGGTTCGTGCTCCGAAGTTATTAGTGAAGTGTCCGCTAAGCTGTCAGCCTTGCCACTCTCTGCCACACCTCCAAACGACGTCCCAAGTATAGCCAAAGTCGTTGACGATTTTTTCGACAAAGACAAGCGAAAAAAGAACATCATCCTGCACAACCTCCCGGAGCCGAGGGCTGGAACTTTGGAGCAGAGATCCCAGGAAGACATCAACCAATTTTTGGAGATGGTCAAGGAAACCTTTCGACTACGAGTTAGCGTGGCTAGATCCTTTCGGGTCGGCAAGGCTAACCCTGACAAGCCCAGACTGCTCGTGGTAACGCTGGAGAACGAGGACATAAAGCACGAACTGCTGAAAATGGCCCCGCAGCTCCGCCATTCAGTGCGATGGGGAAACATATACCTCTCCCCCGACCAAACTAAGGTGGAGCGCGAGGCTTCTAGGAAGTTGAGAGATGAGCTCCGCTCTCGCAGGGCAGCCGGTGAACAAAGCCTTGTAATCCGCAACGGGAGAATCATTTCCAATGACAGGCCAGTTTCACATGCCCAAGCCGGTCGGAGGTTCGATAGTGCAAGGGACAGTGCCAGATCCATTACCTTGCCAGTCGTCCGGTCGTCGGCTGAAACCCATGACTTGGTTCCAGCTGATGCATCAGCACGTAACGATACCTCCCGTGTGTTATCTCTGGATGTTCCGGTGTCTGATGGCTGTCCTCCAGAACCTCAGCAAGCGTGACTGCCCGTGAAGTATGCCTCTGAGGGCACTCGGTGCCTACGTATTTGGTACACAAATGCGGACCAATTGTTGAACAAGAGGGATGATTTGTGCATGACTATTTGTGGTGAAGATCCCGATATCATTTTCATCACTGAAGCGCTACCGAAGGTGCGGATGTCGTCAGTGCCCCTTGTCTTGTTCTCTGTGCCTGGTTATGAAGTGCACACCAACTTTGATGATACCAATTACCTTGGCATTCGAGGCATATGCATCTATATTCATCATCGACTGAAAGTTTCCAACGTACATTTTCCAGATTCAAGATTTAAAGAGCAACTTTGGGTACAATTGTGCTTGGAAAACAATGACGTGCTACTTGCCGGCTGCATTTATCGCAGCCCCTCAGGCGACCCCCATCGAAGTGTTGATGATTTGTCTTGCTTACTCCAAAATGCGATTTCTCTCAAGCACACTCACCTGCTCATTGTTGGGGATTTTAACATTTCTCAGATTGACTGGGAAAACAACTTTTGCAGCGCATCTGAAGCACATTTTGCCAACAAGTTTTTGTCTGCCGTTCAGGATGCATTCCTGTTCCAGCATGTCACCAAGCCTACCAGATTTAGAGAGGGTTGTAGGCCTAGTATACTGGATTTGGTGTTTACAAATGATGAGAATATGATAACAAAGATCAAATATTGTCCTGGATTAGGAAGGAGTGATCATGTGCTACTGAAATGCGACATTGCCTGTTACAACAAAAAATGTCCCTCTGCCGGCTTGAAATGGAATTTTCACCGCGCTGACTTCACGGCCTTGCGTGTAAAACTACATGCAGTTGACTGGAGCTGTTTGTCAACCATGAGTGTAGACGCGGGTTACAAGTGGTTTAGGAGCAAACTTGAATCGCTGATGAGTGAGTGCATACCCAAAGCAAGAAACGTCAAGTCTAAAAAGAACGTTTACATGAATAGCCGTTCACTAAACCTCAAGAAGAAGAAGAAGGTACTGTGGTCAGTGTACATGAGAACGCAAGACCCCATCGACTATAGCAGATATAAGATTTGCAGAAATAAGCTTAGGACATTGACTCGCCAGTTAAGGAAAGATTTTGAAGCTAAGATATCAGCAAACATGAAAGAAAACCCGAAGGCTTTTTGGAAATATGTGAACAGCCGCCGTAAAGTTAAATCAAGTATTGGTGATCTAAGAAACGACCAGGGCCAGCTTGTTAGCGAGGAAAAAGAGAAGGCCTCGCTCCTGAATGACGTCTTCTCAGGCGCATTCACTATTGAAAAAACGGATGTCGTGCCACAACTAGCAAACCGTTACACAGGGCCGCCGCTGATCGATATACCAGTCAACCTTTTCACAGTGAAGCAAAAGCTTAAAGCACTGAACCCCAATAGTGCCCCAGGAGCTGATGACATTCACCCCCGCGTTTTAAGGGAATTGAGTGGTCCTCTCTCCCTTCCCTTGACCTTACTGTTCCGAAAATCGCTTGAAACTGGGTCTATTCCTGCAGACTGGAAGCACGGTAAAGTCATACCAATCTTTAAGAAAGGTGAAAAGGAAGACCCAAGAAACTATAGACCTGTCAGCCTCACATCTGTTCCCTGTAAGATTCTCGAGTCACTCATTCGTGATTGTTTAATGGACCATTTGCTGTCAAATGACCTGCTGTCCAAGGACCAACATGGCTTCCGGCCGAAGCGATCTTGTGATACGCAACTGCTTGACTCTATAGACTCATGGAGCCGCCTGTTGGAGGACAAGACGGAGGTCGAAGTGATTTACCTTGACTTCCGAAAGGCGTTCGACTCCGTCCCACACAAGAGACTGATAGGCAAGCTGCGCTGCTATGGTATTGGTGACCGAGTGTTGTCTTGGATTGAATCATTCCTGGAAGACAGAATGCAGCAAGTGTCCCTATATGGAAACCTGTCAGATTTGGTCCCTGTGCGCAGTGGTGTGCCCCAAGGCTCAGTGTTGGGCCCATTGCTCTTCTTGCTCTATGTCAATGACTTGCCAGATGCTGTCACTTCAAATGTGCGAATGTTCGCAGATGACACAAAGCTGTTCTCAGGCATCTCTTCTGAACATGATGTGCGGACATTGCAGGCAGACCTGAACGCCCTCGTGGAATGGTCTAGAACTTGGCAGCTGCCATTTAACGAGAATAAGTGCAAAGTGCTTCATGTTGGTGCAACCAAGGACCACCACTCATTTCAAATGGGGTCGGACAGACTGACAAACACGTCAGTCGAGAGAGACCTGGGTGTGCAGGTCGACTCAATCTTGAAGTTTCGACAGCAAGCGTCTACGGCGGTCTTCAAAGCGTCTCAAGTTCTTGCGGTCATCCGCCGGTCCTTCGCCTTTTTAGATGAATTTACCCTGCCTCTTCTTTTCAAATCTCTCGTGCGGCCTCACCTGGAGTTCAGCAGTCTTGTTTGGGGTCCGTTCAATAGAGCTGATCAGAAGGCAGTCGAAAGGGTTCAAAGAAGAGCCACCCGGTTAGTGGTGAGCATCCGCCACCTTCCATATCCTGAAAGGCTGAAGAGACTGAAGCTCCCGTCACTGTACTATCGGCGTAGACGCATGGATATGATTCACGCATACAAGATGCTGCACGGCCACGTTGATACTGATCCTTCAGAGCTTCTGGCAACGAATCCTGAAAGGCGAACTCGGGGTCACACACTTAAACTACGGAAGCCTCGTGCAACCTGCCGTGCCAGACTGAATTCATTTTCTGTGCGGTGTATTAACGATTGGAACGGGCTTCCAGCAGAAATTGTACATTCGCCCTCAGTCAACGTCTTTAAGAACAGGCTGGATGCACACTGGGAGTCGATCTGGTACTCCACTCCTGTAACAGACTGAGTACTAAGTGAAGTTATGGAAATCGGCGAGAACGGGCCCTACAGGACATCGTGCCTCTTGCCCCGATAACACGAAGATGAAGATGAAGATGAAGATGAAGATGATGCTGCGTTCGATTTCAAGGAATTAAATTCGACAAGAACTAGAATGAGCTGTTTCTCGAAATCATCTCGCAATATTTTGAGCTTACAACGTAAACAATATCAACAGCGCGTAGGATATGGCTAAATAATTTAAAACAATTATTTATATTAGTGTAGACAAACTTCGTACCGACAATTCGTACACAAGTGACGAGCAGCGGTATAGCGGTTCGGCCGGGTTACTGTTCGCAGGTAGGGAACGCCAGCGGGGCCACGGCGTCGCCCCGCTGGAGCTAGTCTGCGCGGCTGGGTGCAGTTTTTAGGCGCTATAAATGACTGATGTTCCACATAGTCGCCGGGGGGGGGGGGGGGCACTCACCTACTGGCCGCCGCGGCTGAGCTGAGGGTGCCGTTGGGCGTTTGTAGGCCGTCGTGCTGCGCCGTTGTAGGTGTAGCCGAAGCCCCTCTCCGATGGTCGGCGATCTTCCTGACGGAAAAGGCAGAGTACGTCAGACCTTCATCCATGACACGTCGAGTTAGCAAGCAATGGTGCGGAACGTCAGGCTAACAGGGAAACTTTTCTGCATCGCCGTAGCTGGAAGCGAGCTGGGTGTTGTCATCATAAATCTCATTTACCAAATAAAACGAACTCTCCAGAAACCTTCGAGCACTTACCTGAGTCATCATCCATCAGGGTGGCACGCGCAGAAGCTGGAGAAGAACAGCGCCCCTTCATCACCTGCCGAATGGACGGGGAGAGGTCAGGGCCGGAGGGAGGGCACGGCAGTCGCGCCGTCACTGAAGCACAGTCAGACAGTACGAATACTGCGAACAGCATCGGCCGTGCGAGGGCCTAGACAGCGGATAGTAGCATCATTCGTGACGACGGCACTTCACTAGCAGAGTAACATAGATAAGAAACACAAATAACAGACAAATGCAATCGTCGCGTACTTACAGGGGCTGTCACAGCCGGACGCCCGGGTCTCAGTTTGCGTGATTTCTCTGATCGCTCACTTCAGACACCTGCGAGAAGAACCCAGCCGTTAGCGACTATACCGGCGAAAGTCCAGGAGGCAGGTCTAACCCGAACAGTCAGACAGTACGAATACAAATAGATCAACGGCCGTGCGAGGGCCTCCACGAAGGAATAGTTAGCATCATGCAGTATAGAAGATGTAAATGAAACTTTCGTACGGAGGACCGCAGCGGGACGAGCTTATCAGATATGGACGAGGCTACAATGAGAATACCACAAAATAGATCATGCCTGGTCGCTCCGGAAGCTTACCAATCGGTGTTGCTCCTTGTCAGCTCGACTGCGGGTTTCCGCTACCTAACCGTCCACTGCCGTGATCGTCCAGAAGGGAACCGAACCTGACGGACGAGAGGGCGTCAGCAAACGGTACATGAGAGCAAAACAACACAACCCATTGGACGCAATGGAGCCCAAAAAAGATATCACGCATTTCAAGCATTACTTAGTATCATGAAAAACAAGTAAGTCCGTAAAATGCACAGCCTATTATTAAGCAAACTGTTCGCAAACTTCGTCCCGACCGGTATCAGCGAGATGACCACCAGGATAGCGGTTTGCGTTTTATTGTTCGCAGGTAGGGAACGCCCGCAGACCCAAGACGACGGTCTGCTGGAGCTAGTCTGCGCTTATACCAACTGAGCAAGAGTTCAGGCAATATGGCCAAAATCCAGCTGCCACTACTCACGTTGATTTCATGCGCTGGTACGGGGTACGCCCGGAGCCCCACTCGAGGCATCTGAAAACATATGGTGCTGTTAGCACAAGTGGCATAAGCACCGGTTTAACGGGAGTCCAAAAGTATTCTCAGGCTAACAGGGAAACTTTTCTGCATCGCCGTAGCTGGAAGCGAGCTGGGTGTTGTCATCATAAGAATTGTCAAGTTTAGGGAAAATACGGGGCACGGCATCCACGTAGGCCACAGTGAGCTCACCTTTTAGTCAGTGGCTAATGGTGCTTCGGTCCCGTCTGCAATGTTACTCAGCAGCCGCCATCCGATCTGAGAAAAAGAAAAAAAATATTGTCAATATATAAACAAAGATATAAAAATGGAAATTGTTATAACCACACTTGCAACAAAACCAAATGAAAAAATTCCTAATAGACTATGCAATGCATACTGAATAAATATACAAAGGTTCTGTAGACAAACTTCGTCCCGGAAGCACTACGAACGAGAGCCCCGGGATAGCGGTTCGGCCGGGTTGCTGTTCGCAGAAAGGGAACGCCAGCGGGGCCACGGCGCCGCCCCGCTGGAGCTAGTCTGCGCTACCAACACGGTTTAAACAGACATGACCGAATCAAACACACATAATTACCTGGCGTATCCGCATGATGACGTCGGCACATTTGCGACTTGCTGACGACTCCTGAAATGAAAAAAAGATTTTTAGATTTACAAGATCATCATTACCAATTGCGTTTTTATAACAGAACACAAACTGAGAGCCAGTCTTCAGCCATGAGCGCTAATTGTTGGCCGGATGATGATGGATTGGGATTTTTGGGCGCCCGGACTACAGTGGTCATCGGCGCCCATTAATTGTTGGCCGGAGGGTACAGAATGGGCTGCTTTGGTAGTAGACGGCGGATGGATAGATAAGACCAGACGGACGCAGGGTTAGCGGGTGGAGCCGGGGCGTGTGGGCGGTGTTGGTTCTGACGGCGGCGGAACTGCCGCGCCAGGATAGTCCCGCCGGACACTGTGGGCGCCAGTACAGACGCGGCGGCCGGCAGCGCCGTCCGGCCGCCATGTCTGAACAACGCCGGACACATGGATTCCAGCATAACATTACGCATTCCCAAATAATACACGAATCGCCCGTGACTAAAAACATTGTGCTTACTATGAAAAATCTATCCTATATGCGAAAAACAGGGCACAGTGCCGCGATAGTAATGTCGGACTTACCCTGCAGCGCGGCCTGCCCAGTGCCCATGCGATGTTCGCTGAACGATTCTATTGATGTCCGGCGATTCCTGACCTGGAAAAGTGGGAGTGGGTAAGACATAGCATTCTTTCATATATCGCACTGCCAGTCCCTCGCTTCATTAGAAAAACAAAAGAAATGTATTTGATGGCAACATTACAGTGGGTACTTAAAGGAAAAAAAACTGAGCGAAGCGATACAAAAGATTGTTGATAGACAGCTGTATGGGAATGTTGGAACATGACCGTAACAGCCCGACCATGTTCAGTAGTTCCCAGGTTGGTGTTGCACTACTGTATATCGAACATGTTACCATACAACGGGTCCGAAAAGCTAGAGTGCAAGTTACGCTGACATCGCGACAGCGGTACGCATCGCTGAAAGCGGGGCTCACCTTGGCCCTGTTTCACCGGTGATAGCAGCACGCTGCTTTTACACGTGTCAAATTGGGTTTCCATGGAAACATCAACAGGCCCATTGCTCCAACACTACCACAAGTGTGACGTCAGCTCGCGCAATTTGAGAGCAGCGTGGTAGCAGCGTCCCGTGAAACACCGCCCTTATCACCCCGAAGAGACCGCAGGCAAGTCCAACAGCGGAGGCAGAAATTTCACCAGGCTTGTGGCTACGGCTCCGTCAGCTGAAAACGGAAATCATGCCGGTCAGACAACGGTAGCACGCCGCGGTCGCTTCTCAGTGCGGCGACCTACCCGCACCATTTCAGCTGTGCGCCCGCTAACTAAGGGCCGCCTCGTGCGCGGGGCGGTCCTACTCTCGGGGCCGGCACAGCCAGGACACGGTCCGGGACCACCAGAACGGCGGACCCGAGCCGCGCCCGACAGGCCGTGCCATGGTCTGCCACAGACATAACACTGCCGGCCCAGTGCACGGGCCGGCCGCTGACTTCTGTGGCGCGGGCGGCACAACCATTCCAAACGCCAATGGATGTATCCGACACGCACAAATATAATCAAATTGAAAACCTTATCACACGCAAAACGGAGATTTCGCCGTAACGAACATCGAAATGTCAATGTGAACCACGTCATGCTCATAAAGTAAACGAGGATTACATATTTAGCTTACTTGGCAACGTATGATGAGATGGTTGCGGGCAGCTGCAGCATGACGATCCCACGAGTCGACCAAAGTCGACATGTTGCAGTACTCCGTAGGCCAAGTTGCGAGGCAAGATCCTGAAAGAGGGCGTCCCTATTAATCGAACGAAAGTAAAAGCACGAGTAGAGTCGGAGTGATTGAATTATCAGTTTGTGATAGTTGTAATCGTTGTGGTTCATACGAACGAGACAATGAATCATCATATCAGGCGGGAATAAAAATAGCACAAAAAAACAAGAGTTCTCACCATTTAAATCTTCATCCATATAAAACGGGAACCATGGTGCCCCCAGTCCAGTCAGCTCGTCTGAAAATGAAGTGACAAATCGGTCAGCTTTGTATATTCAGCGCCCGAAACGGTGAAAGGGGAAATTTCCATCAGAACATTATAAGTATAATCATCGTGTTCATACGAACGAGACTGTAAAATCATCATGGTAAGAGCACTCGGAGAACATACATTTGAGCGACACGAATGACAGCTCGGTAGCGGTAAAACCAGCTGAGCTGACGCAAACAGCACAATGATACTGAGTCGACTCACAGTGGTGTCACTGTCTTACCTGCTAGTTTGTTCTCGTCACGTCCGGTCCCGCGGGGGTGAGCCGTGCACTGTGCGGCCTGGGATCGGCCCCGCCGCCACCTCTGGAACTCCTGGAGGCAGACGGGTCACGGGTCATCCGACGGATACCGCCAGGGAGGTTCACGGCGCTGTGACACCGCTCAGGACGTTGGGAGAGAGTCCTCAGAGCCACTAGGACACAAAAGCTGTCATCACTGTGAGCGAGATCAGTTAAACAGACCACGTCACGTCACCGCGGGGGATTAATTACCTGGAGTGGTCGAGCGGTGGCGAGACGAGTGAAGCTACAGCAGTGCTTCTGTGCCGAGTGGTGCCGACGCGTGGTTATCTGTCGAACAGAGAACCATGGTATTAGTGTTTGGTCTCCACTAACCCGGAACGAGAGTCGGTCAGTCCGGCTCAGGACACGTTGGGATGGATGTCGTCATAAGACCGTCGGAGACTAGTTGTCATCAGCGCGCTACGAAATGACACGTCAATCGTGCAAACCGACATTATATGTACAATGCAGAAACCAACTGCAGAGCTATGACGCTACATAATAAGGTCGATCACGTCATTTCCAGGACTCACTTTTCAAAAGTGGCAGAGCTCGAAGTTTCCGCACATATAGAAGATCGGCGAGAAGTTGACACACCCGACGGTTCACCTGAATCAGAGAACGTCGTAAGAGAATAAAACGAGATATGGTCATTTCAATTACATCTCATCAGTCAACCAGTAATGTCTGACAATCAAGCACGCATAAAACAGGAAAAGTGACATAGAAGTGACAGCAATGGACGGAACAATTTGCTCAAAACGTACCTTAGAAGAGACTGCAACAGGTTCCTGGTGCCCCAGCATGTGTTCACCATAACACAGAGCCTTTACACAATCACATAGTGTATTTCCACTGTACTACAGACACAAGCAATTAAACTTACAATGACCTAACATGCCGCAAGTCTAAAACTTGCACTCGACTTAATATAACATATTACAAGTGGTCTATTCCGCATACCAAGATGTTACCCTGGCGGGGTCGACCAAATTATAGCACAGCACGAAAAACACATATATGGTGACTGGGGGAGAGATTACTCGCCACCACCATCCTCCTCGTGGTTACTGAACGCACAGATGTCTATCATACAGTGACCAACTGAGTGGTGCGTGCAGCGTGTTTCAGAAACAACGGCTACAGACAGGAAAGTGGACAACAAAGCTACGCCCATCCGACCGGGCGCCGGAAAATCCCCACGCCAAAGTTCCTCTGACGGCACAAGTCTCCAGCCGCAACTGAACTTGGGTCATCACTTGGCATCGGCCTTTGCCGCCTCGCTCTCATCTTCCTTCTTGTCCTTCTTACCATCACCGCCTGCAAATAGGAAAGCCGGTGAGGGTCAGATCCAACTTAACTTTCCCAGGTGCTACCGCGTAACAGCGAAATGCGCAGAGGTTCCATGGCATAAAGCAGCAAAGGCAGCAAATGAGCTCAGTGTCATAAAATGAGCTCCAGCTCACAGGCCGCGGGGGCAGCAGTTGCGCCGCTGACCGAACCCACCCAGCCCAGCGCCCTCCGCCCGTCACTCACCCTCCGAGTCGCCGTTCTCGCCCGAGCAGCTGTTGTCGCGCCGCCGCTTCCGGTTGAACTTGCCGCGGTTGAACTTGGGCGGCGGCAGGGCGTCCATGCCGAGGATCTTGTGCACCTGTCGGAAGGCCATCAGGCGCAGGGCGTGCTGCGCCGAGGCCGTGATGTCCTCGCGCTCCTGGGCCGTCAGGCCGGAGAGCGTGTCGACCGGCTCCTTCTCGCACGGGTCGATCAGGCCCGGCGTGCCCGGCAGCAGCAGGCCGGACGCGATGGCCTCGAGCACGCGGCGCAGCGCGTCGCCGGGCGCCAGCGGGAAGCCGGCAGAGGCCACCACCCGCTCCACGAGCAGCTCCAGCGCCTGGACCCGGGAGGCAGGCAAGTTAGTGAACGACGCCGGCACCTATCACTCACCAAAGCGCACAGTCCCCATCAGGACACACATTGAAACAAGCAGCCTTTACGAAATCAATTGCAAATCACATTGAAGTTTTATAAATTGGAATCGCTATTAGTCTGATTGGCTTACAAAAACCGTAAGAGTCGACTTACCCAGGTGTTGAGCGGAGTCCATGTGGGCACACGCTGACAGAGTTCACGCATTATGCGTATGACGATCACACAGCTCTGCACGCCGCTGGCCCTAGCCTGCACGGAGGAGGGTAACGGTGGGTTGGAACTACCATACGTAACAATACGGTTCACTGGCTCACCAAACGCCACACGCGCGGCCGACAGGACCGACTATCTTTCCAGCCTTATGTGAAGCCTACACACCGAACTGCTCTCTGCGACGGACTCTGGTCTGAGTGACAAAAACATGGCTCTGGAAACGGCTCGGCGCCGAGCCGCCCGCGCGCCCGACAGTGACGTGACATTACGTTACGTTACGAGTCGCCAGCGGTGCAGAGAGCGCCGGCTGTGTCAGAGGGACCCGCCCGCCCGGCGGCTCCGGCGACGGCAGCGCGGCCGGCCGGCGAGCGGCGCGGACCGGGACGGCTCGCCCCGTGCCGCGCCGCTAAACGACCGCCGTCTGCCGCCGGCGGACGCCGCGACACCGCCACCCCGACCCGACAACCCACTGCCCAGAGATAAGGCTGAAAAAATGGGTGTGAGCTCCGCGACAGAAGGACGTGCAAATTTAAACGATAAAATATCTGCAGAAGAACGATCTGCAGAGATTAAGACCAGAAAGCGAGCACGTCATTCCGGCGCGAGTGACTCGGCGGCGTGTGTCCAGACCTGGAACCATTTAGCATGTCTCAGAGCCGCTAGGGCCTCGAGGCATTTCTGCTTGTCCAAGACGTCTGGCGGGTCCTTGGAGGCAGTTGGCTCTGCGAACGAACCGGCCCCGCATCATACATGATCTTGGGTCACTGTCGTTCGCGCGAAACAAGCATGATAATTGCACTAAATACGGTAAATGCTCAGAATGCGAATTCGCGATTACGTTACTAACGAGGGGAGGGCGAGAGGCTCGATAAAGCACATCGTAAATGACACTACGTTCTGTGAATGAATGAAACAAACACATGATGAGAAAACAAGCAGTCCAAAATGATTACCAGCTGGCATCAGCACCACACGAACCATTTTGGACACAAGTGAAAAATCCCGACCCTCGTATCATCAAGCAAAGCATCCAGTGCACAACTACGGGCAAACTGAGAGCAGCGAGAGTGAATCGAACGACAGTGACGCATGTGTGATGCGCGGCCGCGCGGCTCAGCCGCCTCCAGCACCCTGCAGAAGACAAGGTCGGCTCTCAGTGGGCGTCGCTGCCGGTCGGCCCGCCGTCCCCACGGCACGCTCACAGCTCGCACACCAGCGCAGTGGCCCAAAACCGGCGACCGCGGGGAACGGGGTACACTAAAATACTGGCAGTGCCCAACTCGGCATTATAGGTACGATGACGCGCCTTACTAATCAAATTACTTATCACACTTTCGATGATACGTGATTTTTGGACGCCCGGACTTGGAAGGTTCGACACGCTTCCAGACATTCGTCTTTTTCGCAAGACCGGTTAATTCACTACGTTAACAAACTCGTGACACATCAGCCACACGGTTCCAAATAATTATAGAACCACTCTGCTGCGCAGCACTGCTGCCTTGCTGAACCAAAGCTGACTGGGCGGGAGCGGGGTCCGGTGTCTGGGGTCGATATTTTGGGCCGCTGCACGGCGCCGGCCGTCCCGCGTCCACTCACCACCGTCGGCGGCCCCATCCCGCATCAGCGGGGAAGTCAGGGTGACGGTGACGTTGATCTGCGGCTCCGTCTGGTTGGTGATGATGAGCGACGCCTGCTCCACGCTCAGCTTCAGCGCGTACTTCTCGTCGGGCGTCACCGTCTGCCGGCCCAGCAGAGACGGAGATGTTACGCTGGGAGTTACCGAAATAAAATAGCGAAAAATTGAATCGGCTAGTCAGGTATGAGTTAACGTGACATTGATCATTTAGCAGCATTTTGTGTGTTGTAATGTGTCCCAGGCATGAATCAGTACTGGCAGTGGTGCGCAGTCTGGGATCTTCCTGGGCCAATAGCGGTCGTGTACCACGGTTGATTAGGACCGCCGGCCAACGACAGCCGGCTCCTTGCCCAACCATGGAGGACTCCGTCGCGCGCGCGACGACTCACCGCCAAGTGTTTGGGCATCAAATTGGCGACACGCTCGAGCAGGGTGCGTGTCGGCTTCTCGGCACAGAGAACTACCAGCTGCACATCGGCGTCGCCCTGCAGCAGCAGTCCCTTGGCCAAGACGCCGACACGCATCACGCCCTTCAGCGTGCGAGGCAGCTCCTTGCCATCCCTAGGGGAGAGCGAGCGTCGGTCAGTCACGTGCCACCGGTCATAGCAGTAATCAGCTGTCGTGGTGACCACCATGGATCAAGTAGGCTTTCTAGTGCAAACACGTTCAACAGGCTTAATTCTGCCGTCCAAAGGCAAAAACGCATATGTCGGGCCATGACCTGACCCGACATATGCGTTTTTGCCTTTGGACGGCAGAATTGAGCAAGCCTAAGAAAAAAAGCATCAATTTTAGGGTGTCCGCCTCGGCGCCAGTACTCACTCGTCCTTGCTCTCGCTGGCGGTGCCGTCGTCCTTTTTCGGCGCGTCCGCCTCGGCGATGTCGTCGGACACCATCTTCAGCGCCTTCTCCGAGTTGGAGACGATCTTCTGGATGGCGTTCAGCTCCTCGTCCTTGGGGTAGATCTCAGAGTGTTTGGCCATCACGTGCCGGTCGTCGGCCGAGTCCGGACGGCGCAGCTGAGATCGGAACGAAGAAAAGGTCAGAGATGGCGGCAACCGGCTGGCGGCATGCATAGAGCGGCTTTGACGAATTAAATAAAACGCCATGAAAAAGCACGACAGTAGCAGCTGAAGCAAACGTCGGCTAAACAATTATTCACTTATACGGTTGAGCTACTATAGTGAAGGGAAACACAAGCGAGCAATAGCGCAAGCAGGAACTAAATTTGTAAGACGAACTAAATTTGTAAGACGTAACTGTAATCGGCTGAATAAAGAGCGACACAAAAATGAATGTACCGAGCACCATCCGACCGCCGGAGCGACAGACGCACCCGGCGGCAACGATAGGCACGCGGCTGGTGTTGGCTGTGGCGTGGAAACGACCGAGCGGCACAAAGGCACCGACCGGAGATACCGGCACGCCGACCCCACTAATCCCCCAACGACCGAGCGGATATACCGGCACGCCGCCCTCTAATCCCCAGCCCAACTGATCGGACTGGAGATAGGACACCTTCCCTACCCCGGGGATACATCGGACCTCTTTTGGACCCCCGCGAGGACCGACCGGAGATACCGGCACGCCGACCCCACTAATCCCCATCGCAACCGATCGTGCCGACCCTAAACTAATCCCCACCCCAACCGATCGGACTGCAGATAGGACCTTTCCGGCCTATCCCCAGATTAACCGGATTCAGCGATACCTGGCAGCGACCCAGCCCTTTCCGACCCTGCGCCGAGTACTCACCATGGGCGGGATGGGTCCGAAGCGCGGTCCCATCGGTCCCATGGGCCCGAAGGGCGGCATGCCACGTCCGGCGCCGCGCCGACACCACTCGAAGTACTCCATCTCCTCTTCATAGCGGCGCCGCTCCTCCCAGTAGATACGCTCCTCGTCGTCCATGGCCGACTCCTCGCGGCGGCGCCACATCTCTTCGCGCATCTGCTGTCGGCGCAGCTTCTCCTCCTGCAGCTTCCGCTGGCGCAGGCTGGGCTTCACCTCCACAATCAGCTCCGGGTTCACCTTCTTCTTGTACTGCAGCCGGTGCCGGCGGCCCTTCATGTGCATCTCCTTGGCGTTCGGGTCGTTGAAGCGGCACTCGCACAGCTTGCAGTTGAAGCTGACGACCTTACCTGCGAACAAACAGTCAAACGATATAAACAGATAATCCTGTGCTCAATGACATGCTCAATAAGGCATGGTAATGTTTGAAGATAGTCTGTTGCTCATTAGCTTCCTATACAACCTTTCATATACGATACCGATCATCGCGAAAGGTAGCATATCCGATTCTCAGTAACAACTCACCCTCCTCGTTTTTGATCTCCTCGATGTACTCCTGTCCCACGGGCTCCACCTCCTTTTCGCCGAGGGCGGCGGCGGCCACTGCCACCGTATCGTCCCGCGCCACTGCCGGCGCCGCCGCCGCCGCCGCGGCAGGGGCAGCAGCAGCAGCAGCCTCCTTGGGTTCCTCCTTGACGGCGGTGCCCGCGGCGGCGGCCGTGGCCGTCGGCGTGGTGGTCGTCAGCTTGGTGCCGCCTGTCGACAGGACGAACCACGATCAGACACCCCGCACTGGGCCATGCAACTGTTAGTTTTCATCGCCACTCTGGCTGGGTATCTACGATCGTATTCTCGCCAACTACTTGGTGAAAAAACGGCGATGCAAAAATAGACGGGAGTCTCTCAACGACAAGTCTCATTTCAACGGCGAAAAACTCACCGACAAAGTTGATTTTGGGCGTGGCGACGACCTTGGTGACCTCAGTGGTTTTGGTGACGGCAGTGGTGGTGGCCGCGCCCGTCTTGGCCGTGGTGGTGGTCGACTTCCCCGGGACCACCACCGGCTCCGTCGACGGGATCGGCTTGCCCAGCTTGGTGTGTAGCTTCACCACCTGGCCGACAGACGATAGACGCGTGATTGTCCGAACAAAGCTAGATGCAATGGTACCAGTATAACGCCTTTTGGGGCGACTAACGGAGCGAGCGAGAGGGTGGGCCTTGCACGCGCGAAATTGCGAGGGGGTACCTCCAACTGACTTGTGCACGGCACCCTACTAACTGGTCTCTAGCGATGTGCCAAATTTGGGCACAATCGGCCCAGCCGTTCTCGAGATCTGGAAGCGGCACCCTGCACGTGCAAAATGGGTCCCAACTGACTTGTGCACGGCACCCTACTAACCGGTCCCTATCCGTGTACCAAATTTGAGCGCAATCGGTCCAGCCGTTCCCGAGATCTGGAAACGACCCCTGCACGTGCGCACGTGCAGCAGCACCCCAACTCTCGCACATGGATATGCAGTGCCTAGTGGGTGCCTACCTACATGCCAACTTTCAGTGCAATCGGCCAAGTAGTTACCGAGATATTGCAACAATTACAAAAGTGACACCTCTTCGTTTTGCACGTGGCACGTGCATAAGGGGTCACCCACATGCATCGGGAATAGTCCAATACTTGGTAGAAGGAATGAAGCTACCCTACAAAATTTACCGCGTGTAAATCGGTCAAGTGGTTGCTGAGATATAAGCCTCGCAAAAGCGTGACCACGGCCGGCCGGCCGGCCGCTCATACTCAGAAATTTCCGTTAATCTAAGGAAAGACTACGCTCGCTTCGCTCGCTCCGTAATCACACAAAGTCGATACCAGGCGCGGCTTCTAAACGATGTGTAGTAACCAGTATAACGCCTTTTGGGGCGACTAACGGAGCGAGCGAGAGGGTGGGCCTTGCACGTGCGAAATTGCGAGGGGGTACCTCCAACTGACTTGTGCACGGCACCCTACTAACTGGTCTCTAGCGATGTGCCAAATTTGGGCACAATCGGCCCAGCCGTTCTCGAGATCTGGAAGCGGCACCCTGCACGTGCGCACGTGCAAAATGGGTCCCAACTGACTTGTGCACGGCACGCTACTAACCGGTCCCTAACCGTGTACCAAATTTGAGCGCAATCGGTCCAGCCGTTCCCGAGATCAGGGCCTCGTTTCATAAAGCGTGTCCGTAAATGACGCCGGTTTTTGGTTTTGAATTGCAAGTGCATGTGAAGCGATGACGATAGTTTGAATCGTTCAATATATTTATCTTGTAAGCAAGAACAGAAGGGAGAGGAGGAAATAACTTTATCGCTTCACATGCACTTACAATACAAAACCAAAAACCGGCGTAAGTTACGGACTCGCTTTATGAAACGAGGCCCTGGAAACGACCCCTGCACGTGCGCACGTGCAGCAGCACCCCAACTCTGGCACATGTATATGCAGTGCCTAGTGGGTGCCTACCTACATGCCAACTTTCAGCGCAATCGGCCAAGTAGTTACCGAGATATTGCAACAATTACAAAACTGACACCTCTTCGTTTTGCACGTGGCACGTGCATAAGGGGTCACCCACATGCATCGGGAATAGTCCAATACTTGGTAGAAGGAATGAAGCTACCCTACAAAAATTACCGCGTGTAAATCGGTCAAGTGGTTGCTGAGATATAAGCCTCGCAAAAGCGTGACCACGGCCGGCCGGCCGGCCGGCCGGCCGGCCGCTCATACTCAGAAATTTCCGTTAATCTAAGGAAAGACTACGCTCGCTTCGCTCGCTCCGTAATGAATGTATCCCAGGCATGAATCAGTACTGGCAGTGGCGCGCAGTCTGGGATCTTCCTGGGCCGATAGCGGTCGTGTACCACGGTTGATTAGGACTGCCGGCCAACGACAGCCGGCTCCTTGCCCAACCATGGAGGGTTCCGGTCCCGCGCCGGCCAACAAACTATGTCTACACTTCAAACAAAAGTAAAGCAGAACCGACTCCAGTCTGTGGTATTATCGTCTCGCCTCACCTTCTGGTGTTTGGCGCCGCGGATGTGGGCCGCGTACGCGTCGCTGCCGGTGCAGGTGACATCGCACAGCTCGCAGCGCAGAGAGTTGCCGCCGCGTGGAGCGTTCGGCGTTGTTCCCGCAGTCTGCTTCTGCGCAGACTCCTTCTTCTTGTGCTTCTGGCCCTCCAGGTGCTCCCGGTACGTCTAGAAACAAGGTAGGTAGAAATGTGACCACACAATAAACCGCGCTGTCGAACATGAACAACAAATTGAACAACTGTTTGAGAATGTTGGAACATGTGCAACGATACACGCACATGTTCAGTAGTTCTCAGGTGATGTAGCACTGCTGTATATCAAACATGCCAAGATAGGCAAGCCTGAAAAGCTTGAGTGCTGCTGACCGAAGCTTGCCCAATTATTAACTGCGGACTTCGGACTTGGACTTCCACGGAGTCACTATCCAACCTCCATTTCACGCAGAATGCACACCCACAGCCGCGGGCAGTAGACAGCGACACCCACCTGCGGTCCGGCGCAGCTGATCTTGCACACGTCACAGTAGTGCAGCTGCTGCGGCTTGGGCGGCTGCTTCAGCTTGGGCTTCTGGCCGATGGTGGCGCCGACGCCGGGCCGCGACGCCTTCCACGTGCCGGCGCCCTTAGGAGCCGTGTGCGCCTGTTGCTGCACGTACAACGTGGCCGCGTTGTACAGCGCCGCGTCATACCCGCTGTAGTCTGCCAGACAGGGGGAACGGGACGAAACGGTCAGATGACGGGCTTACAGCCAACGGCGCGTTGCGCATCATGACTCCAAGAACAATTTGTACGCCCGCTAACTAAGGGCCGCCTCGTGCGCGGGGCGGTCCTACTCTCGGGGCCGGCACAGCCAGGACTCGGTCCGGGACCACCAGAACGGCGGACCCGAGCCGCGCCCGACAGGCCGTGCCATGGTCTGCCACAGACATAATGGCCCTTTCACACGTAGCAACTTTTCCGGTCGCCGGCGACGGCAACTGTCGCCGGCGATCGCCAGCGACCGGGGTCAGTCGCCGGCGATCGCCAGCGACCGGGGTCAGTCGCCGGCAACTCCGCAGTTGTCGATATCAGCTGACCAGTCGCCGGGGTGTGACGTAGCAGTCGTGTCAGCCAATCATTGAAGAGTTGTCGGCGTTGCCGAGAAAGTTCAATTTTTCCAACATTTTGAAGTCGCCGGCGACTGTACTAGCCAGCCGCCGCTCAGCTGTCACGTGACCCGCTTGACCTTGAGTTGGCACCAGATATTGCGCTGCTGATACATGCAGCGGCGCAGCTTATTTTACTGCATTATTCAAGGTACTAAATATTTGGACATGTTTTGCAGGATGATAACTACCGTCTAGGTAATATTGGAATAATATTTATTAGATCTACGAGTATTATTGAAACAATACATAATATCAATGAAAATACAATCAAACTGCGATTCTTCTACATTGGAATTCAATGCACTCAAGCATAAAACTGAAAAGTGATGTGTACTTGCAGTTCCTCCATTTTTCCTAACGCATCAGCCAAGACTACGAGTGCTGCAGATTTTGCTCACCTGTCTTGTTTATTCAACTACAACCCTGTTCTCAATAAATGAATAACTTCGCTGTAACGACATTAGCATTGAAGGAATGGTTGGTGGTAAGCATGGGACAATCACAGTGATTTGTGGTCACACATTTGAACCGTGCTTTGTATATGAAAAACAGAAAAAAAGGCATTCTAGAAATGTAGCAGAAATTCAAATGCCAGAAACGGACCTGAGGAACGGCGAAGCCCACCACCCACATAAAACACAGGCTTTCATTATGTCAAAAACAGATGCTGTATTATCTAAAGCGCTGGATTGGGGAACACAAGTGTACCCCCCCCCCCCTTATAACAAAATGCATTTTTCCACACAGTGGATATCACTAAACATGGCGAGGTGACAGTATATGACACCATACATAAAAATGCAGCACGCGCGGACACGGGGCAAAGACGGTGGCACAATATGCCGATACCCAAGAAGACACAAGCCTAGGTCAAAGGTGACAATACTGTGACAGAAATCTTAAAATCAGCCTGGACACAGCTCACTCTTCATGACCGTTTTTATCGAAAATAGACCAACAAAACACCAAGGCTCCTTCGTCCAAAACTCGACATGCCGCTCCAAAGGCCTTGCAAAACAGCGCACACCAACAACGCATAATAGCCAGCAACGCACACGACAGGATTTTCGAGGCCCGAGTCGTCAGCCGCCGCCGCCGCCGCCACCTCCCGGCAGCTGATTGCTGAGTGCCTTGCTCCGGCTTGCCGCACCGCCCACCGCCGCCGATCGTGGCGACCTCTTTACTCTGGCAGAATCGACCCTACCGAGCGGCGACACCATTCAGAAGCAAAATGACAAATGAATTCACTGCACTTATGTCAGAAAATCGAATGCACATGCCATGGTCACATGCGGTGCCGTCCACGGGGCCGGCAGAAGCTGCACACTGTCACCGAACACCACCTGCACCTTGGACGCAGTATGTGAGGGCTTGGCGGACGCGCGCCGCCTCGCGTGCGGTATTGGCATCAAGGCCCGGACACGAGGGAGCACACTCGGCGCAATCAGAGCACACCGTCCGGGGCCGTCAGTGTCGATCTCCTGACCTCACAGAAAGTTGTGCAGCACACAGGTGAACGCCGTCAGTGTGGTGACTGGTGCGCAGCACACCGTCCCACGGAAGATCGTCTGTGGGCCGTGGTGCAGATGCTGTCTCTAGGCAGAGTCAACAGTGCAGTGGCAGAAGTTGAACATTCAGCTGCTAGACTCCTTTTCGGGTCAGCAATGCCGTCGAGTTGGCCATCAGGTGGTGTTGCAGAATCATCAGGTACTCTTGATCAGGTACATCAGGTACAGAACCTCTTGACTCATCAGGTAACGCTGTGACTTGTCTGCCAGGCACAGAGGGCGGACATGTCAGAACATACTTCAAATACATTTTTAAAAATCATTTTTTAACCAAAAGCTCTGCAAATTAGGAAGCCTGGAATAGGCTATTGCTTAGCATCATAAAAACTACCCAAATACCCAAATCAGGTTAGGCTTGGTTTACCCAAATACCCAAATCAGGTTAGGTTTGGTTTTTACACTTCAGGCTAAAATGAGAACTATCTTAGCATCATTATCCTTGATGTAGCATTGTTGATGCTTTTTGTCTTGTACAATTGGCAATCAGTATTCAGTGACACAGAATTGGAATTTGTGGTTCAGAAACCTAGCATTATTTGAAATAATAGCATTTTAGCAGTGCTCATTCTTTTTGAAAGCAAGTGTATTTTTTAATATAATTTTCTAGGTAATTCATTTCCTACTGAATATGGTTATGAGACCATTGTTACTAATTTTGGTATTATTAAGGCAGCTGTAGCATGAGTGGGCATATGCTGTAGAGACTGGAGTGATTAAAGTCACTAGAGGCTTGAGGGTTTTTTTTTAGACATTATGCAGCAGCCTGGGGAGATATGCAGAGGCAAGTCTAGGCACCACCAGAAGGGGGACAAGCAGTCAGCACAACACACAGCGGGCACAAGGGGAGAAGATTGTAAAAACTATTGCCTGGATCCACCTCTGTGGACATCCTCAGGCATGCCTCTGTGGACATCTCCAGGCTGCTGCATGTAAAAAAGTATCAAGCCTCTAGTGACTTTTTCCACACTGCAGCAAATGCCCGCTTATTCTTGGTCTGCTCTACCTTCCTCCAATTATGAGTTTTGTGTGAAAACGACATTTTTACATTGGTGGAGCTTGTGTGCGCATGGTACACATAAGCCATGACGGCAGCATTGCTGCAATGAATAGGAAACAGCTCCAGGCCCAAAATACATACCACCTAATACCTTGCCAAAATACATGACATACCTACCACCTACTGTTGCATAATGCAATTATTTATGTACTAATAAGCCATGGATTATCATTTGCCATGTGAGCACGCACACACATGTGAACCCAATGCGGATTAAGTTTGGCCTGGGTTGTTTATCCATGGTACCAAGGAAAACCCCAGCAGAAACAATAACAAAATTGCAAAGCTACCTGTTTGATTTTGATCATGCTAATTAATGAGCAGCAATATAATATTTTGTTGCTATCAAATATTTCCTTGTGGCGCACGAATACGTAGGCAAATAGCTGACTGATGGGTAGGCACTTTGTCCTCAAGCCGGGCACTGATACTGAATGTAAACCATGTTCTTGTGACACAACAAGCAAGTTTTCATTACCTTATGAAACTAGTGTCAATTTCAATGTCATTAAAATATTCAATTTTGATGAAAAAAATACATATTTATCACAAATAAAAATCATGGGTGATCATGGGCAAGTGCGCCACAAATGACATAAACCCTCCAATATTGTCGAATCAAGCTTAAATTCAAGTCACAACAGCTTCACGACAGGCAAACTACAAGATAATAATCCCTATGCTACTGTGCAACAAATTTAAGGTAGCCACACCAACCAAAAATGCATCACAAATCACCTAAACCACTCACCAAGGACAAAACTGTCATGGCGGCGTCCGCTGCTCGAGAAGAGTCGCCGGCGACTGGCCTGTGACGCGGATCTGACGTCACCAGTTGCTGGCGATTGCCCGGCCGTGGCCCGGCGATCGCCACCGACTTGCTTACGTCATACCTACGTCACACACGATCGTTGGCTGGCGGTCGCTGGCGGTCGCCGGCGACTGCTGCTGTCGCCGGCGACTGAAAAGTTGCTACGTGTGAAAGGGCCATAACACCGCCGGCCCAGTACACGGGCCGACCGCTGACTTCTGTGGCGCGGTCACTCTGAATAATAGAAACAAAGCATACACAAGTTGAAGACACTAACATGCATATTGCACACGTTACGTACAATTTGAATATAAGGCACCATTTCATATCAAGCAAAGATGAAATTCCATAGCAAACTTACATCGTCTCGGCGTGTCGCGGGGAGCGCACGGATAATAAATGGGGGGGGGGGGGCGGCGTACTCACTTTTGTTGGCCGTGGCGGCGGCGGCTGCCTGGTTCGGGTACGTGTAAGACTGGGCGGCACCGGCCGCCGGATAGTTGTACGTTTTGGAAGCCTGACCGGCCGGACGAGCGGCCGCGTTCTGATAACCTGCCGTATACGTCGTGGACGACTTAGCTGCAAGACAGAAAATCATGGTTGGCAAAAGTTGCTTTCCTCACAGACACATACGATTCACAAAAGCCAGGGCACAGAGTCTTTCGGTGCGTTCGAAAAATATCTGTTAACCCTGCCGAGTTCGTTGAAGGACGCTGTGGGATCCATCAAGCTGCATCAGGGAACTATAATTAAAGTTCCTGGCTGGCGCTTCCCGATTTAAAGGTCCTTGTTTGACCCTTTGGCCTGATTTGAGACCAGGCGCCTAGCCACTCTGCACGTATCCAGTAGATGCTTGATAGCACCGCCGAACTGCTATTCGGAAAGTTAACGCGGCTGTCACGGATTATGTGCGCAATAATAAAACACGCGAACTAGGAGGCGAGTTTCATTAAAGGTAGTGTGCCACCTTTGAAAGATTTCCCATTTTATTTTTCCTAGGATAAGAAGCTTCTGTTTTTACCTAATATCGCAAAAAAAAATCAAAAATGGGCCTGGAATAGTGCCTTTTTCGCCTAAAAGTTTTTCGGTTTTTAGATATGTATAACAACTGTAGTGGGCTCACCTGCAAACAGGCGTCGGGCAACAATCGCGAATGCGGCGCACTTGTGACAATAAGCAAAGGTCATTATAGTGTTACGACCATACGACGTACGGGAATGAGTTATCAGCTGTCTAATCGTAGACAACACAATGTCGAGCCTTAAACTGTAAGCCCGTATTGGTATTGTTTCTTTTATTTGGCTGTCGAACATTATTTATGGTTTGAAATATGATTTTATGTAAAATAATTGATATGAAAAAGCCGTCTTATAAGTTATGACCCCATTTCACCACACGCAAGTGGCAGAAATGACAATGATCAGCTGACGCATTTTTCTTGGCCGAAGTCAGAGCGCGCGGCCCGACGCACCACGCGTATTTGGAAATTCCGACCTCGACGAGCATCAGAAGCCACCTAACAGGCGTGTTCGAAACCGCAGGAGATGATGATGAACGGGTTTATCGAAACTTGATTGGATGAGCATATCGGTAATAGCGATTTCAGTGTGTGCATTTATTGTTCATAGTGGTGTGAAAGGTGGTTGGGGTACGACCGACAACCCGTCGGGGCGAATTTCGCACTGGGGTACTCAAAATTTGAAGAATTTAAGACGTTTCCATGAGTTTTGAAGGTATGGATAAGTTCTAAAAATCCGGTTCTCCTTATCTGGGCCATTAACTCCATACGGTCCAAGAAAGCTGGCACACTACCTTTAATATTTCCTTTACAACGGCTACTTGCTTTTCTGACAACGCCAGGAGGCCAAACTTGCACGATCCAGCATAATTTTCATGTCGTTCGATTTCTCTGGGGGCTCCTTCGGAGTTTCCGCGAAAAAAAAAAACACTAGTAATTAACTCTCACCGGCCGAGGAGGGGGGGGGGGGCGTCCCCCCTTTGGATTTTTCGCGATAGCTCGTATCACGCCGGCGAAAGAGCTGAAACTTGGTATACCTCAACCTTTGATTGAAGCTGGATCTTGTGACACCAACCACATTTTCCGGTCAGGTCACTGACCTAAGACGTCATATGTGAATCTCTGCACGGTCCTCAGATGCCGCAACTTCGCAGCGCCCTCAGTGCCAGAGCCGCTTTTACAGGGAGATGAAACTTGCAGCAACTAGTATCATACAGAGGCCTCGCAACTTGTATTTCTCGGATTTTTCCTAAAAGCCATATGAGGTCAGGTCGGTCACGTGAGCTCACATAAGTCAATGGGGAAAAATGAAAACTGCTATTTTGGCGACGGGAACCAATTCAGACTATCTCAAGCCCACGGAATCGTGATTTCATGCACTGCTTGCAAGATCTTATGCTTCACTTCTGCATTGTTGATCTTGCGTGACATCACTATGCGTCATAGCTTTTCGCCAATAACTCTCGCTCAAATTGAAAAAGCGAGGTGCAAAAGCCACCAATGGACTCGGGAAGACCTACCAAATCGAATGATATACAATATGACCTCCTTCGACCATTTCCGTGACCTGGGGGCTGTGACCTGAGTCCTGACCTTGATCAGAGGTCAACATCTGAACTTGACCTCACCCGAACAAAAAGTGTATCATTCGAAGCAACTGAGTGAGGCGAACACGATGGTGCCAAAATCACGACTCTGCGGTCATGTTTGCGAAGTTATTTACCAACAACCGAACCTGTGCCTCGGGCCACCTGACCCTACCTAAAAGGTCGTCATTTGACCAGAGACCTTAAAATCGTTTTTCAGTCGCTGCGTCTCGTATCGGTGCACACGCTCGTTTTTCCGCGACACTCTAGCTTCATCAGAGGTGAAACGGCGAAAGGGGGGGGGGGTCGTACCATCCCCCCCCCCTCAGCCGGTGCGTATGTAGAAAACCAACAGTTTCGGCGGGGGTTAAATAGGTGTCAATTTTCCAACAGTTCAACATGTGTGATGGGTATTTCCGGCCATTGTGCACCTAAGAAATTTCCATCCTTCAAGAATATCAAAGGAAAGTAAACACAATTGGGAAGATCAGCGACAAACAGTGCCACTACATAACATATCGGCGAAAGATGGTACATAACAGGATGTACAACCTTACCCCACCCCCAACAAAAAAAGAAAACATGCACAAAGTGTAAGCAACTGCAGTGTCTTGCCAACCAATGACTGTCAGGAGACCTACTCACAGTCTACTTGCTCAGCAATGTCAATATTGCATCCAAAACAACCAGTCAAAGCAATGGAATGATGCCGCCTGGAATACCATGGATGCAAAAACTAAGCACAGTACTGAAGTAACTGCACGATAGTTCACGCTCAGAGGTGAGAGGCAAAATCGTACACGTTTGGCGTGATATGCCTCTACGTAACTGTCGGCGAGTTCGCACCCACCTTGGAAGGCGGGGTCGGCTGCCGCCGAGAATGACGTGCTAGTCGGCTGCGGGTAGAAGGCGGCCGTCTTGGCCGCGTTGTCGTAGGTCTGCGCGCGCGTGTACGAGTAGTCGTAGGTGGGCGCCGAGCTGGCCGTGGCCGCGTAGCTAGTGGCCGCCGCCGGCTGGTAGGCCGCCGCCGCCTCGTAGGCAGTGGTGGCGCGCTGCGCAGCGTACGTCGCCGCCGCCGCCGGAGTATGCCCTACGGCCGCGTAGCCGGCGGCCGGCGTGGCCTGGTATGCTGCGGCACCGGCTGCGGCAGCAGCAGCAGCACTGCAACACAGACCAATAGGTTAGTCCCATCTCAATATTTTAACGGTTATGTAATGTTACTATTCACCCCTAGCAAAGTGCAGGCTCAGATTCCTCAAGTCCGCTCATTCAACCATTCAGACTAAATTAAGAAAAAGGAGATGATAAACATCAATGTTGTGGGCGATACTTCAGTTTTTTACCTTAAAGTAGCACTTTATTTAACCCACGAGCCGCTGGGGGGGGGGCATAAAGTTGCCCCCCCCCCCTTTACGTTTTGTGGAATATCTCCGAAACCTGATGAGCTACGAACGTGAAACTTGGCATAGCTTCAAATGAATACCTAGGCAATGTTTGGAGAAAGTTTGGTGGTTGTAGCACCAAAGATGACGTCACAGTGACGTCATAAAATGACGTCACAGTGACGTCATAAAGTTTTATCGTTTCCAGATATGGACCGTTTCTGATGACGCTGAGCATGAAACTCAACTGTAAATGAACTAGACAGCACCTGCTGTCATCCTAAAACATCTAAGCACACTTCCATCTAGTTCCTGACCAATAATCGGCTCTTTATATTCGGTCCCATACATCTGATGTTCGTGAGGAAACTGAGAGTCGCAAATCTATAATTTGACTTATGACGTCACTGTGACGTCATTTCAAATGGGATCGACACCAAATTTGGACACAGCCTTGGCCAGGTATTCAGAAAGACATGTGCAAAGTTTCGCTTCTCTATCTTTTCGCGTTGCGACGATATCGTCGCGGAAGTAAAGGGGGGGGGGCAACTCTATGCCCCCCCCCCAGCGGCCGGCGGGTGGCGCGGAGGCCCAGCGGCCGCCGGGTTAAATCAGTTACACTGATCCTCCATGGTCAATTACATAAAACAATTTCAACGCATTCCTTCACAACAATTACCAACATATAAAAAACACACCATTTCAGTACGCCATACAAACTGCTGAGATGCAAAATGGTGAGCATTGTTTTGCCTCTGATGCGCTAGATATGTAACCAAAAGAATTGGATGTGAGTACTAAATACAATATACTGGTACAACTATTTTCATGTTAGGGGACACTGTGGGATATCAGGGTTTTTGGGTGGGGGTGATTTGGAAACATGTTTGCTAAGGATGTGAACCAAAATAAGGATGTAAGCCTTGGTCACAAAATAGGGGAAATCTCAGCCCAGGTAAGGGCAAATGGAATGTTAGGTTTGAGAGTTCTGGAATTGTCTCCAGGCCGGCCAAAGGCCGGTCTTGGCCACAAAATAGGGGAAATCTTAGGTAATGGTTAATGGAAAAATGTTAAGTTTAAGAGTTCTGGAAAAGGCGCCAGTGGAGACTATTCCAGGACTCTAACCTAACATTTCCAACATTTATCTATTAGCCCTTATGTTACGGGCGGCTGTGACCGCCCGTTGTGGCATGCCTGGCGCCGCCCGTGGCGCCTCCCCGGCTGGCCGCGCCCGGCGCCGCCCCTGCCGCGTGGCCCTCGGGCGGGGTCGAGGGCTGGCGCTGGCTGGGCGGGCGGCGGCCCGGGAGACGGGATCGGAGGGACGTGTGGAGCGGTACGCGCTTGTGCTCCCTAAACTGCAAATAGAGTGACGTTCGGATCCGGTGTGTTCAGCTCCCGCAACATTTGGCGCGGTCGGTAGGACTGCAGAAGACGACAAAGGGTGAGTTCATTAATTTCATTTGATGATATTTATTGAAATTTAGTTCATGAATGTTGATTGTCGTAACTAGTCTGTGCTCGACAAAAAGCGGGCGGTTTGCTCGAAAATAGAACGCCGATATTTTCTGTTCTGAGGGGAACGTTAGGAATAAGGCGGTCCGCCTGGGTGCAGTTTTGAATAATTTGGTGAATTGTTTCCGCTGGCCATGGATTTCAACGACACTATTTTGGTATCGCGAACCCCTCGTTTTGCGGGTATAGAGACAGATGATTGGGAGCGGTGGATATCTCGTTTCGAGTCGTTAACGGTGGGACTCGGAGACGTTGAGCGAGTTAAGCGGCTGTTGCCTCTGCTGGATGGCGTCGCACTCGATTATGCGCATTCGCTGTATCAGGGTGACAGTTCGTACTCTGAGATAAAGTCAGGACTTGGGGTCCGGTTTGGTCGGTTAATCGAGCCCTTACAGGCGCAGGCCGAGCTGGGGCGCGCCTCCCAGTCGCCGGGGGAATCAGCTGAGAGCTTCGCTGACCGTATTAAGAGACTGGGGCGGGCTGCGTTCCCTCATTCTACCGGTCCGTCAGGGGAGGGAAAAGGTCCTGAGGAAACGTATGCAGAGAGGGCGTTCGTGATGAAAACCCTGACGAGTCGGTTCATATGTGGACTTCGGGATGAGTGGCTCCAGACGAAACTGTGCCACCGTAATCCTGAGTCACTGTCTGCGGCTGTAGCGGTGATCCGAGAGCTGCATAAACGCCAGGAGGTCGTCCAGGCGGTACGCGCTGCTAACCCATCGACGCATACAGGTACTGGGCCCCTTCCCCTGGGTGCTGTAGCGTCAGCTGTTCATGCAGAGGTAGGAGGTGGGTCGCAGCAGGATGCAAGGATAGCTCAGCTGCAGCAGGAGATCGGCCAGCTGCGGTCTTCGTTGGAGGCGTTCGCCGTTGCCAAGACGGACCACCTGCCTGAGGCTGTCAAATGTTACGGGTGTGGTGCCCCCGGCCATTTTCGGCGTGACTGCCCGGTGGTACGCCGTGGTCAGCCGAGAACTGGACCGAGAGCCACCAGGGTGAAATGTTTTTCGTGCGGGCAGGAGGGTCACATTCGGAGTAACTGTCAGTCGGCTGTACAAGCTGCCACCCCGCTCCAACCGTTTTGTTTATTCTGTGGCGAGGCTGGGCACTGGATGGCGGCATGCCATTCTCGCCTGCAGCAGGGGCCTCCAGCAATGGGTGGACGTCGGGGGCTGATGTCGAGGGAAGCCCTTCCATCTGATAAGCCGGCGGAAAACTAGGGGCAGCTGGCCCTGTGGGACAAGAGCCGGCTGCGTGTATCCAGTCCCGATTAACTGCAACAGCCATTCGAGTCCACTTGGGCAGCCTCGAAGTATGGGCGCTGGTCGATTCGGGTGCCGACTTTTCCATGGTCAGGGATGGGCTCCAGCAGCGGTTGAAAACGGAACTGGCTTGTCAGGCCACCACCCCGACGCGGTCCGCGAAGGGAGCTGGTGGTAGCCCCCTGAACATCGTTGAGGTGCTCCGTGATGTCCCTATCCAGGTGGAGGAGGAGTCGATTGTGTGTCCACGACTGGCTGTGGTGTCGGGGCTGGTCTATGACGTGATCCTTGGACGTGACTTCTGTTGCCAAAACAGAACTATCATTGACGATGAGAAGGGGGTGATCCGTATGAAAGGGATGACGATTCCACTTCCAACATACCCTGAGATCCGTCCCCCGCGGGCTAGAGTCATTCTTGGCGATGCAGTAACACTACCAGGTCGTTCGGTAACAACGGTAGCAGCAGTGGTGCAGCGACTTGATGGCCAGGGACCTTTTGTGACGTCAGCAGGCTCGGTAAGTGGGATGATGGAGCCAAGCCGCACGGCGGAGCGTGAGGATCTATTGATTCCACGGGCTGTGGTGGTGATCGCCTCCAATGGCACCATACCTATCCGGTTGACGAATGTCGGAGCGGAGGGCGTCCGTCTCTTGAAGGGCTCTGATGTCGGGACGTTCCTTGCGTTTGGGGGCGGTGAAGACGCCCTGTGTGTTTTGTGTCCCGGGGCAGACTGTGCCGATTGCAATGTGGCGAGCTGTGGAGATGGAGGTAATCCATCTCATGATCCTGGAGAGGTGGAACCGGAGGTGCAGCAAGCCCTGTCACCAGAACTGACAGACTTGAGTGAGAGAGGTCGTAACAAACTACGGGGTTTATTTGAGACCTACAGTGACGTCTTCAGTAAAAGACCGGGAGACATTGGTCGTACAGGTGTGACAAAACACAGGATTGACACGGGGGATGCAGTCCCAGTCAAACAACGTCCACGACGGATACCCATGAAAGTCCGAGACCAGGTAGAGAAACAAAAAGAAAAGATGTTACAGGATGGTGTCATTGAGGAAAGCGAAAGTCCGTGGTGTTCGCCGGTCGTGTTGGTGCGCAAGAAAGATGGATCCTTCCGCTTCTGCGTCGACCTGAGGGCTGTGAACGCAGTGACGAAGGGCTTCGCCCTGCCGCTCCCACGAATCGACGACTCGCTCGATACCCTGTCGAGGGCGAGGTGGTTTACCACGCTGGACATGGCCACAGGGTATTGGCAGGTTGAACTGGCGGCTGAAGATCGAGAGAAGACGGCATTTTCGACTGGAAAAGGCCTCCATCAGTTCAGAGTCATGGCAATGGGTCTCAAGAACGCCAGCGGCACTTTCCAGAAGATGATGGAACTGATTCTCGCAGGCCTTGACACCAAAAGCTGTTTGGTGTACTTGGATGACGTCATCTTGTTCAACAGGACCGAGGAAGAACATCTGGCTACCCTGCAGGAGGTACTCCTGAGGATTCAGCAAGCCGGGCTGAAGCTAAAGGCACAGAAATGTCGATTCGCACGCAAGGAGGTGACTTTCCTTGGACATCTCGTCTCCGAGGAAGGGATACGTCCAGATCCGCATAACGTGGACAAGGTCCTGGCCTGGCCGCAGCCGTCATCTGAGGAGGAGATGAAAAGCTTCTTAGGCCTGTGCGGGTACTACGCGCGGTTTATTCAGGGGTATGCCGCGATTACAAAGCCACTTAGGGACGCCGCAGTAGAGGAGGGACGAATCAGGTGGTCCGAACCGATGCGCATTGCATTCGAGCTGTTGAAGTCCACTCTGTCCTCGCCTCCCGTACTGGCTTTGCCAACAGGTGAAGGGACGTTCGTCCTGTATACAGACGCATGCAACTCTGCTGTGGGTGTGGTGCTGGCTGAACGCATTGGAGAGGAGGAAAAGGTGATCGCCTATGAGAGTAAGGCACTCACAAAGCAGCAGACGAGATGGCCGACTTACGATAAGGAACTCTGGGCGATCGTTCATGGCATCAGACATTTCCGTCAGTACACTGTTGGTGCCAGATTTGAAGTGGTGACCGACCACAAGCCGCTGGCAAACATACCGACATCGATCGCAGCAGAGCGAGACGGCACAGGACGTCGTGGTCGATGGGCGATCGAGCTGAGTTCTTTCGACTTCAATGTTCGGATCCGCAGCGGTCTGGCCCACGGGAACGCTGATGCGCTGTCTCGCAGACCACCAGATATGGCGTCTGCGGTCCGATCTGGTCAAGCCCAAGGCCAGGGGTGGTGTCCCGGTCGCTCTGTCTCAGAGAGAGGAGATAGAACGGAGACGGTGGGGTCAGTAGCGGGCGGCTCGCCCGCGCCGACGGAAGGCGGTTCGCCTGAGTCGGTTGTGACTCTTGTAGCTCCAACTGCTGTATTCTCAAGGCTTACGCAGGAACCGGCTGCTGTATCAGTCGCTGTGTCACAATCAGTCCAAGAACGGACCCTCCCTCCAATCGCCCAGGCGCAAGCCAGTGACGCGACGCTGTCGGCTCTCCGAAGAGCACACGAGAGGAAGGAGAAGCCAAGGCCTGCAGCGTTCGCTGGGTGGGGAGTGCTGCGAAAACACTGGAGCAAGGTGCGCGTCATGAATGGAGTAATCGGCATTGCCTCGGGTCGACAGTTCCAGGCGGCGGTGCCTCAAACTGAACGGGCCGAGATCATCCGACTGGCGCATGATGATCCATCGAGCGGGCACATGGGTCGCAGACGGACCATCGCCCGGGTGAAGGCTCGATTCGTCTGGCCGGGGATGAATGAGGACATCCGGAGCTTCTGTGCCTCGTGCACGCCGTGTCAGCGGCGGTACAGACCGGCACCCAAAAGACGAGCACCGATGGTTACCGAGGTTACCTCACGACCCTTCCAGAGAATAGCCATGGACATCACGGAGATGCCTGTGTCGAGAAGAGGCAACCGATATGTGCTCGTGATCATGGATTACTTCTCAAAGTTCGTACGAATCTTCCCGATGCCGAATCAGAAGACAGAAACGGTGATGGAGGCACTCCTTCACTGGGTTCAGGAGCTTGGTGTTCCCGAGAGGCTTCACACAGATCAGGGCGCTCAATTCGAATCTCTGATGATGCGTGAGCTGTATCAGAGGCTCGGCATCCACAAGACTAGAACAACGCCTTATCATCCTGAGAGCGACGGGATGGTGGAGCGCTTCATGAGGACCCTGAAAGACATGGTGTCGAAATACATCGACAGCCAGGGCCTTGACTGGGACGAAAGTACCAGATCATACGCCATGGCCTACAATTCTTCCCTCCACGAAACCACCGGTCACACACCTTTCTACATGATCCATGGCTTTGAGCCTCGGTTGCCTTTGGATGTAATGTACGGAACCGATGAAGTCGCAATACCAGCTGAAACCTTCCTGAACAAACGGCTGAAGAACATGAAGCGGGTCTTCGCACAGGTGAGGAGAGCCTCCTCCCAATCAGCTGCTCGAATGGCGGTTCGCCATGACAGCAAACTCAATTTTACCGCGTACCCAACGGGCTTGAAGGTGTGGGTACGAGACCACACTGCCGCTGTGGGAGGAAAACCGAAGCTGGGTCTGCCGTTTAAAGGACCGGTGACCATCGTCGAGAGAAGAGGCACACCGGGGGAGGAAGTTACCTACCGGATACAGGACGTCCGCGGCAAGACACGCGTCGTGCACCACAACGACCTCAAGGAGTTCATCCCTCGTCGGACCGACTTGCGGCCAGTTCAGGATCCGAGTGGTCCAAATGGACGTGGTGGGGCCGTGGGGGTGGATCCCGTGAGCGACTGTGGTAACGAGCATGGCGTTCTGCTCGAGGTGCCGCTAATGCACTTACTCGGGAGAGCTGGCCCATCTGGTGATGTGGGCGTCGCTCAGAGGGGAATGTTGCCGCCAATGTCATACGTGACCAGATCAGGCCGAGTGTCGCGACCACCTGAAAGGTTCCAGGCGGGACTATGAGTGTGGTGGAGGTGGTGAAGGCTGTGATTGTGTATATAGTTGTAATGTAAATAGCGTGTCGTAAGTGTCGCATTGTTCAATGTATGATTGTTTCCGTGAGGGGGGAGGGGTGTTACGGGCGGCTGTGACCGCCCGTTGTGGCATGCCTGGCGCCGCCCGTGGCGCCTCCCCGGCTGGCCGCGCCCGGCGCCGCCCCTGCCGCGTGGCCCTCGGGCGGGGTCGAGGGCTGGCGCTGGCTGGGCGGGCGGCGGCCCGGGAGACGGGATCGGAGGGACGTGTGGAGCGGTACGCGCTTGTGCTCCCTAAACTGCAAATAGAGTGACGTTCGGATCCGGTGTGTTCAGCTCCCGCAACACTTACATCACCTAAGACTCCTTCCCATCCCTAGCGAGCGAATTCCCAGGAACATGGTAGGTTAGGTTTGTTTGATACAATTTTGGATGGGGTTGGGCCTCGCCTCATATGTACTCAGTACTCACCTAGTGGAATCTGTATTGCCACTGGATGACAGCGATGAAGTTTGGCTACAAGAAATTTTTGTGGCGTTCCTGCCACATAAATTTGTACAAAAAAAAAAATCCAGTGTCCCTTGGGTGTAAATAGTTGTAATGGTACATTGTATGGTATTTATCAAGATGAGGTCCAAACTACAATTTTGGTGCTATTAATTCAAATGAAACAGCAGAAATTTTAGGTTTTAGGTTGGGTTAGGTTAGGTTGTAGCTTTAAGGTTGTAGGTTGTTGGGTTTGTACTTTGTAGGTTGCAGGTTGGTAGGTTGTAGGTAGGTAAGTAGGTAAGGTTAGGTCAGGTTTGATTGTTTTGTTTTTCCTTTTATGCTAGACTTGTATCATTTTTGGATTCAGGATGCCAAATGATGCAAGATTGTGAAAAAAATATCCATGAAATCTTCTGATGGCTTTATCTCTACCTTTACCCTTTGTATTTAATGCTCACATCAAATTCTTTTGGTTACATATCTGGTGCATCAGAGACAAAAAGTGTGCCATTTTGCATCTTGGTAGGTAGTTGGCGTGGCATAATGGTGAGGTGCTTACTTCTGTTGTGTTGTGAATGAGTTGAATGTGAATGTTGAATGTTGAATGTGTGAATGTGAAGTGTTATGAATCAGTGTTTTAACTGTTTTTGATGTAATTGGCCATGGAAAATTGATATTTCCTAATCAAAATTGTTTGTTTAATATAAACAACTGAAGTTAAACCTGTGTTTTTCTCTCCCTATCTGGGGATAGCACCAAAAGTAAATTGGTGATCAGTCCTACAGTAAATAAGTACCCAACACACTTCAAATCCATTCGCTTTAGACCGCCTCATGTAGACGAAATCCAGTCCTTAACTAAGTGATACTGAACACAGTTCAAATCTATTCGCTTCAGACCGCATGTAGACGAAATCGGCGCATCGATCCCATCAAGCAGGATTTAAGCATGAAGCACACAGCACACAATGACTGGCGGGAAACGAAACATTCTGCCCCATCTCAGCGATGTTGGAAACAGGCTTTTACAGTGCACCCAAGATAACACAAAAACCACCGGTATCTACAGCATAATCCAAGGATTCGCCATTACACCAACACCGGCTAACGCCCATCGCCCAAGCCTGCCTTTATAATTAACTTACCCGTATTGAGTTCCTCCGTGTGTAAACCCAAAGTAATTATTTGCTGCCATGCCCTGGCCAGTAAAACTAATAAATTTTCGTAGCTCTGCGAGCGGGCAACCTTCCCCCGAGAACGCCGGACGGAAAAGGACGCCGGATGCGGAAACGGGAGAAAATAGAGGGTTGTCAGTACTGGTCAGGACGCGGCGGACGCGGTGCTTGAAAGCAATTGAAAGCATTTTGAAGAAAGAGTACAAAAAAATATTGCCTTCTTTTTCAATGAATCACAAAATAATTTTTAGAAATACGAAAGACTATCTAAAGTGTTGTCTAATTTTTCAGCAACATTTTCATCTCTAGAAACGAACATCTAAATTATGTCTTATGACATTTAACGGAATTAGGAAAGCAAATAGGCAACGACTTTTGCCTTACTTTTGTCGTAACTTCATATTTCTTTATTCCAAAAGCCGCGACCCTCTGATAACTTTACTTCTCGATCAGTTTTTTTTTTCCCAGAAAAACACAGGGGTCAGAACATAAGTCAGAGATCGGTGCAGACTAGCAGCTACACAGGAGTTCGGTTTGTCAGGATTACACCGGTCTAGTTCTACAACATACAAAGACCAAGCATTTTTGGATATCAGTATCACAATACTGCTGCCGTTGCTATTGTTTTAGATGTCGGAAAATTGACAATGTTTGATTGTGATGGTGTCGATCAGCTATATTTATTACTTATTTGATCGAATGAAGAGCCTTGATTTTGCAATGTTTATCCGAGATGGCAGTTAAACATGAGAAGCAGATGTTGGATGTTATGATACTATGCTAGTTACCGTCAGACGCGGTAACATAACTGCATCTACATAGGAACAGCGTGCGAGCTACAAGTGGCTGGTCACGAATACGCTCGGTACTCCCCCCTCCTGCGCTATGATTGGGCGAGGGTTACGCTGACGTCGAATAGGGGTCGCGACCTCTTGATCCAGGGCAGACTGGTCAGACGCGATTTGGTGGGGGTGCGCCCAGCGTTATAGAGCTGTGAGGCAGCTCGCCGCGGTGTTGCGTTCATAATACGTGTCGTCCTCATCCAGCTGCCAGCGATGAGGCTCCGCCAGTGCAACAGAGAAATCAAGTTGAGTGCGGTTGTGTTTGTAATAAGTCAGTGCATTTTAGTTTCAGCTGTGCCTGAGGCAGCACAGTTCGTTGATCCCGATCCAGCTATTTCCTGTGTGGAGGCGCCCATCGACTACCCCGGCGCCGACGCACGTGTGTCGGACGGCTCGACTGGTGGACCAGTGCCCTGTCCCGAGGGGCCGATCATCGAGTGGGACGACGGCGACGGCAACTGGCGACCGCTGACCGACGACGACGAGCCGCCGCCCGCCTTCTGCCGCCGGCCGGAGGGCCCGGAGGCGGCCGGCCGCTGGCCGTGGCTGGTGCTGCTCGGCCGGCAGCGGGTGGTCGGCCGGCCGCAGCACGGCGCGCCGCCGCCGTCAGTCGCCGAGCCCGACCTGCTCGGCAGCCCGTTCTGCGGCGGCGTGCTGATCGGCTGGGGCCTGGTCCTGACGGCGGCGCACTGCCTGAACGGCGACCTGAGCATCAACGAGGACGGCGCCGTGGCGGCGCTGCTCGGCGGCCGGGCCGCGCCGCTGGCCAACGGCACCACGTCGGGCCCGGTGCGCCGCGTCAGCCACCGGCTGGTGCACCCGAGCGCCGACCTGGCGCTGGCGCTGATCGACGTGCTCTACGACGGTCTGCCCGGCTGGGTGTGGCCGGCCTGTCTGCCGCTGCCCGGCGCGCCGCTGGCCGCCGGCCGCCGGGCAGAGGTGGCCGGCTGGAGTCCGCCGCCCGCCGAGCTCCACCAGGCCACTCTGCGCGTGACTGAGCCGGTCGAGTGTCGGGAGGCCTACCGGGCGGCGGGCCGCCGGTTCCCCGGCACTGAGGACGACTCGGCAGTGTGTGCGGTGCCGGACGGCGGCGGTTCTGTGCCGGCAGAGTCCCCCTGGTGCAGCGCGCGCGGCGGCTGGCCGCTAATTGTCCCCAATTCGGACGGACTGCTCGAGGTGGTCGGTATCTCGACGTCGGGCGCCGGCTGTGACCAGTCGGGTGTGCCGAGCGTGTTCACACGAGTCTCCGCTTACATAGACTGGATCGCCGCCAGTGCTACCGTGGCCAGGAGGCGGTCCGAGCCGGGGGGCGCCGGGGCGGAGTTCCGCCCTATCGGCCAGCAGGGGGCGGAGCGCCGCCCCTCCACCCAGCAGCGGGTCGAGCCCAGCCCCTCCACACCGCAGGGACAGCAGCAGCCGGCCGGAGTCGCTGATCGGCCCGCATTCGGCGATCATAGTGCCGTGGTGCCCTGATAATACCTACCCGCTGCTCCACCCGAGCATGACCGAAAATATACTTTGATGTAACTCCACAATTTGGCATTTTATAAATATATGCAACGCTTCCAAGTGCATACTGCATACGACACAATTGCAGGTAAAATTGTTCCCGAAGCTAATCCGATGGCATGCGGTGAAGCATGCAGCGTTACGGCCAACTCGGGCTGGTTGAGAGCGGACTGTATTCGCACGCCGAAATAGTGCGCATTAGAGGCGATAGATCCCATGGTCCGATATGATTTGGTATTGCTGTTGGGATTTCTACGCATGTAAATACACGTCCGGTACTTGTGTTACTAATATTATATTCGTGTTGTATTGTACAGTATATGGAATTATTGTTGCACATTTTTGTATTGTATCTGCAGCTGCTGAAAGAATGCCTCACACCTTCTAAAAAATAAGTGAATCAGTTTAAACTTTGAAGGCAAGAAACACGAAGGAATCGTAGTTTTGAGATGTATGTCGACTTTCCATCGAGTTTATATAAATATCGGAGGTATGGATAGGAATCAGCTTTTCATCTTTTCTGTAAATAAAAACGTTCTATTCGTATTTGAGTCGTTTAAAAACGATTTGATTTGCTCAAAATACCAGTATATCTTATGAATGTGTATTTTTTCTAAAAGACTCCTCAGGAATCAAGTCGGGATGTTTCGTTTCACACATAATTCACGGGACATCGCTTCATACCGCCAGCACCGGGGAGGTACAGTTTACACGGACAGACAGACGGACAAACGGCATCGCCCACACCGAGCAGACGCCACACAGACACACGAGACACACGGACATTGGACGGACGAATGGGCTGACGAGCGGACCGATGGGATGACGGACGGACGGCTGACGGACGGAGGCGGCCCGGGCGAGCTCAGGGCAGGTGGTCGCCCTCGGCGAAGAAGCCATTCTCGTCGGCCTGCCAGGTGACGGTGTAGGTGACGCCCTCCCACTCGTAGCTGTAGCTGCCCGTCCTCACGTAGTTGCCAGACTCGGGGATGTTACCCGGGTAGGAGATGCCGCTCTCGTCTGAGACGATGCCGTTGGTCGTCTGGTACCTGAAGAAGCGGATAGAATAAGGCACCGAGTTAACCAAATAATTTAAAATCCTAGAGCAGTCGGTGAAAATCGGGTTTTGCTGCACTGAAGCCTTTTCAAATAAGATGAGCATTACGTTTGTAACTTGCTTACATGACCGTCTAGCATTTTACTAAAATCTAAAATTGATAAAGCGCCCTCAGTTCCATTCTGATGTTACAAATATAAAGGTTGAAGTGCATATGAATCTGAATGCTTCAATCCTCCCCGAGAGTCAAATAGTTCATGTCGATATGGTCACTGACGCCGTGTACGAATCGAACCACGAATGCTTACGCGGCGTCGTAGGATCCGTCCTCGTTGAGCTGGAACTGATGGTTGGCGATGCGGGCGCTCTTATCGGCACAGGCCGCCGCCACCAGACACACGAGAACGATCGCCTGAACAGACGGACACACATTGGTCAGAGGTGGACTTAGGTGTGCGGTGGTCGGGGCGGTGAGACTGGCAAAAGCATAGACACTCTCGCGGACTCCGACGGATGAATAAACGCAATGAACTCTCAGGGACTGTGAAATGGATATGAGAGCTGTCTTGGACTTTCAGAAGCAGGAGGACGGGCAACTGGTACGGAGTCACGGACTTTGACAAGGTGATATCTTCAATGGGACTTTATCAATGAAATCTGTTCTTCTCACAAAGTTTTGGTTTGACACACAATAACTTTGGCTTTGTCTATTGCTTTAATCTTCAAATATCTAAATTTTAGTTTTCTACTTTACATAAAAACGAATCGTTTTTAAAACTTGTATGTTAACACTGACGTTTTTTTTCAGTTTCCCTACTCCATTGCAAAGGTTATCAGTGAACCATTTCACAATGCAGGCTCACCAGCTTCATGGTTGAATGGGAGGAGTGGACGGTCGAGCGGGCAGGTTGATCCGAGCGACTGATGCAGTTCCCGGCGCGCCGCCGTCTTATATCCACAGTGCGGTGGCATCCTCCGCTCGGGGGGCTGCCCCCTCCCGCCGCAGACGCGCCCTCCTGGCGTGGCCTTCAGATGTCGAAAGTCGGCGGGTCGGTGACGCGGCCGCTGGGCGCCCATCTCCCTGCAGCCCGGCACATGATACGGCGGACCCCCGCACAGCCGCCGGCGGACCCCCAGACAGCCGCCGGCGCACGGAACTGGGTAAGAACGCCTGCACTATCCGTCACAACTCACAAGCACAGCATCCTTTCGGCTTCCTTTCCACCTAGAACAGCTGGGCATCTTAACATGCTATGTTAAGGCCTTTAACTATTGACTATGGCTATCATGGTCAATCCTGTTATACATAATGTCAGGGTTTATCAGCAATGGGCCAACCATGAGGATGAAGTAGGGTAGTGTGATCGGAAGTCATTAATCTTTTTGCATTTTTGCTTTACTTTTTGTCCACAATTGAAATACGAGGAATAGGAATGTTAATCCTAAGCGTTGCGGTAAAAAGTTAACGGGTGACGATGGCCGTCAGCATTCGCTCGCGTGTTGCCGGGGCGTGAAGAAGAGTCGCCCCCTGCCGAGGCGCTGATAGGGTGGCCCCGGATCCCAGTGCCTCAATCACAGCGAGCAGGCCGTGTCGGACGAGCGTTCGCTGAAGTAACTCGCTGAAACTCAAAGGAGTGACGGAACAATGGTTCGGAGCTACGGCCGCAGAAATATTCAGAGACGAGGGGTTACGATGGGCAGACGCAACTACGATGGAGTTGTTGAAAGCAGCGGTAATCACAACGCTACAGAGAACTGAGTGTCATGGAGCCGATACTCCAACAATGACAGGCGTCGTGAAATCATTCATGAATAATTACAGTAACAAAACAACTACCAACACACGGAAGATTACCGTCTCATATTTTACCGTCGGGAACTGCGATACCGCACAAGCCAGAACCACCCGGCGTAAGAGACTGCTATCGTTCATATGACAATAACACCAAGCGGCCGGAAAATGGGGCCGCTAATCAGCCAGCCTCCTCCTCATTTCTCTACGCTGTGGAAAGCAATGCGGCCGCCCACGTAAGACTAATACCACAAATCTCTGAGAAAATAGGTAGGGCTTCTAGTGAACCTCCAGTTTCTACCATCGTCCCTGAAGTGCACAGTGGCAGTGAGCAGTGTGCCTTCACCTACATCAGATACCGCATTACGTGATAAGCCTGGAACGGACAGGCGGTCAAGCTACACAATCATCACACGTTATTCAAAATTTTAAAACGCTATCATCACAATGTGACACTGTCTTACTCAATAACTCATTGGCATACGATAGTCACCACACCACGACGTTTGACATGCGATACAAACTATACAAAATCGAAGGAGGAAACTGCAGCGGCACCAAGAGGTGCTAAGCACTTGCTCATTTTCGGACCAACAAACGGCGAAAACAGCGGAAAGCTGACGAAGCTGCGTCATGGCGATCGCCTGTATACAGGAAGGCTTAGCGGCAGAACTCATACGCTGCAATGCATAAGAAATCTTCAGACATCAAACCCACCGACTCTGCAATTACACCGCGGGCTACTCCCTCCAATAGGTCTGACTAATCCCAGCTGACAGTGGCGTGCGGGGGCGTCCGCCGCTGGGCGGCGCCGCGAGTCATGTGCTCTCGCGACCTCGCGCCGCGACTCGCGAGACACGCGGACTCCTTGACACGGGCTCAGCAGACAGACGGACAGACAGACAGGGTCTGCAGGACCGCCGGCGAACGCCACCCACGGACCGACAAAGCCGCCATTAGGCATACATGCACACGGCGGCAGCCGAGGTGCCGGAACAGGGGATTAGCGCGGCGGCGAGCCGCAGCCGGCCGGCATCACTGCCGCCGCCGAGCCGCTTAAACCGCTAATTCATTGGCGACCATGAATAGTAATGGTAAATGGCAAATTACGAGCCAGTCATTAATCAAGGAATACTACCTACGTGACATGATACATCAATTTCAGTAGTTACGATAGTCAATCAATCAATCAATCAATGAAACTTACCATCCCATTATCTAAACCAACTCTATATACTTGCCGTCTGCATTTGAGTAATATTGGCTTCCAATAAAATAATACATAGATAACCTACATTCCAACGTTATGTAAAACACCACACCGTTACATAATGTGAAACATGATGCGGCCGTCGAAATCCAGACACTTGGTCCAGCCTGGGCCTGTAACAACACGGCATGTCAACGATGCTGACAGCGCCTACATCACTCTAGGTCACCAGCCGTACGAGAGTCGGCGATACCCTGAGAACATTTACTATTTCTCGACGACCACAAGCATCCCCTGCAGTCCCATAATAGCATAGTTTCCGACTGAGTCCATCATGCGGGATAGGGCCCTACCTTATGATCTGCAAAGTACACAAGCCGAACGCTAAGAATACGCAGGATTTCTTGCAAGCGCAGTGTGAAGCAATACAAAATACAAATAATTCCGATTGTGCTGCAGCGCTGTCACCCTGCCACTTCAGACGCGAGCTGCAGTGGAAGGTGGACGAACGCTGATCAATATTAAGAAAATTTGATTAACAAATTTCCCAACGGCCACTCATCCCATCACGTCGTCTTTCAAACACGATTCCAACAACATCTAAAGACACGATACAAAGCCCCAAATACTGTGTATTGGTCGATATCACGGGATTAAATAACATTGAATATAGGTACTGACACTACGTCTTACCTACATGATTGCTTCTCACTGACAAACGACATGCGTTTAGACACCTATCTGATAGGAAATTGAAACATTCCCATATTAGCTGCATTATACAATCATGCAGATGAAAGCATAAGACGAGGACATACACAACTTCACATCTGTAAACATCACCCTAAGCAACAACGAAGGCGTGCACACCGCATGAAAAGAAAAACATGTGACGATTTGATATACAATGACGCCAAATAATTTGGCAGGAATACAAGTTTAGCCCACTGATTTGATCAGGTGACCTGCATCCGGAAATGTTCGGAGACACACAAAGTGCCAAACACGACCGTGTCCCTTCACATCAAAAGACTGACACTCGTAGGTATCAAGGGAACTGCAATTCACAGGCCTCTTGTTGATAGCTTCACGACACAAATCAATCGGAAAGCTTATTCGTGAGTGCTGCATCAGGACTACGTTCGTATCTGCATCTCTGATGGTCCAACAACTCCGATGTGCGTGTTTGGAAGGAACTCAACCGTGACCCAGGAATGCCATCCAGTACTTGTATGGCTCATATAGAGCCCGTGCTACGAGGGTCGCCTGGGTGTGAATAAGTGTGAACTTCACACAACAAAACACTTACCAATAGTGACAAAAATCAACCCGTTAATTTATAAATTGTTCAAAGCGTTACTTCACCTAATGCTGCTTGCTAAAAATCATAACCAGTATTTGCTTCCACTCTATAAGTAACCGCGTGGCCGAAGAATGGTCGCCCACATATGAAAAGAAGACGTCCACATAAGCAAAAGCATAATCATGTTCGTGACGAGACTAGCGGAATGTGGAAACATCCATAACACCACGAATACAAACCCACCGGACTACGTCCTGTCCGGGTCGGCATTTAACAGCTCTAATCAGAGATCGCATTAGATAAACAATAAGCAGCCAGCACAACGAACTACCCAGTATCACAATGCCCACAGTCCAGATAGATGCCCTAAAAGGGCCCCTTACCTCCACTCAGCTTTTCAAGAAGTATTTGTCAGTTGCCACAGAGGTTTGTAATGGCTGCCGTAGACGAAAGGCGAAGCTGCGATGATGTCATCACAAGCGGAACCTAATCGCTGTGTACTTGAACAGCTGCAGTCAGGGTAGACTCCCCCTAGGAATACAATATCCCCGGTCCGATATCCTAAAACACATCTGACCTCGGATGGCAGAGCGAATGTCGCTGGCCGCAGTGCCACCACACGGCGGCTCGCAGCGTCTTTCGCCCAGCAGCACGATTGCGTCGTATTTCCACAGCAGCGGCCTCTTCAGACTCCTGCGACTGCACATCCCGTCTCTGCCTGCCGCCGGTCCCGGGCAGGGCCTACCTTACCACTGGTCGACCACACGTCCAGTCCCGTCACGTGGTCACCCGCTCAGCACGGCCCGCGCAGGCCGCGACAGGTCACGTGACTCCAGCCGCCCTGCCGAAGGACCAGGCGCCGTCATAGTTAGCCAGTTATCCACCCACGCCGGCCAGTCGGCGCCCCCTGACCACCCCGTCCTAAATCCCAGCCCCCACTGCCCCACTGCACCACTGACAGCCGGCACATACCGGGATGGACGGAACCGGAGCCACTGCAGACGATACACGCTATCACCACATCAATCACACAACCTTGGAATGTCAACACCAAACAAAACGACCCGACAGGTAATGACCAGATAAAAAAATATACTCAAACGGGTTGCTTCATCTCAATCCGCAACCCACGAGTGGATGCGCGATACCAAGGTCACGCGAGAGTGGCGACTTTTCCCATGATGATTATCGAAACGAGGAAAGTTTGAGTGACTAAAAGGGGATAATCAGTAGCGGTGATTTTCCGATCACATAACCTCATATGCAATCTTTTATGTGTGTCATATTGGGCAATATATGTATTTATTTCACATTGAAGGGCACATCCACCGAAATCGGCGGCTAGTCTATGCCACAAGTCATTAAATGACTCGTGGCATAGAATAGCCACGAGCTATTTTCTACTGCTAAATGCTATTTTATACTGCTGATACTGACCAAAACATGCGAAACTGTACTGCCATGCAATGACATGTAACGGAAAAGTCACAATCGAGTTCGACACCATCTATTTTAAGGTCACAATAGCTTATATTAACTTGGTAAGATGGTAGTGACGGCTGATGTGGAACTTAATTTTAAAAAGATGAAATCCTGTTCAATATGATTATGATGTGCAAAACGGCCACGCTGACCTTCAGGTTCCAATATCCCCCATCTCACTGGCATGGATTGAAAAACCAGCTGTTAGGTAAAAAAGAAAGAAAAAAGCACCAAAGGAAGTAAAATATGTCAAAATGCGTTATAGTCAGCGATCAGCGCTCCGTATATAACTTATACGTACAGTGTGTCTAAAAAGAATGTACCG